TCCCACGTGATTTTTCTGACGTGAATGCGTGTGTGCAAGGAGGGTAGAGCGAGAGAAAGCATGACGACCACATACTTAAAGGCTCTGGCTGGGTTTGAAATCGTTACCGCCAATAATAAGTGCATATAGCCCTAAGAATTGGTTCAATTCGGACACGCTAGTTGAACGACAAATCGTCCGTGGGAATTCGTCACACATTAATTTGGGGCATCGTCTGATAACGCATTTAGTCTTGTTTTGTGACAAATGCGAAATGGATCATGAAGTCGGGAAGTGGTTGCTTTTATTTTTATATTTCACTGTGCAACAAGGCTGTTAATTTAGCTGATAAAAATAATTCAGAATGAACATAAGGCATACTACGAGTTTGAGAGTGGCCATTTCTCACTGAAAGCTCAAATTAGCTTAATATTGACTTCCCGATAAGCAGCTCCATGCCCACGTCTGCGGTCACAGACACCGCCGGACGCCCACGAAAACCACAAACATGGCTGGCGGGTGAATGATCAGGAGCCGTCTCTACCTCCGGATCCCTTCAAATAGTCAACGAGCGCATCCAAGTATGTAGAAAACACTGAATAAAAATGAAGGACTACCAACGAAGAAGCTGCGAAATGAAGTAAGAATTTTATAGTTCACAGAAAGAACCAATCGGTTTCCCAATGTTGTTGGAATAAAGACCCTGAATGTACACCCGTCATCCAGATTCATCAACTGGGTTACTAAAATTACATTTTATTTGTGGTGATAAAAGACTTAAAATATCAACCCTTGGTCAATTTATAGAATCTAAACGAGTGACCCCCGATATCAGATCTTGTGGCATCGTACAACGATACCACTATGTCATCGTTAAGGAGCTTGACACGTTCAAATACTTTCACATTAACGAATGAAGACAATGAAATTGTAGCTTGTTTATGCAACTCCATGAATAAGCATTTAAAAGGCGGATCACCTTCAATCTTCGAAAAGTATTTCATGGTGGCTTTGACGTCCTCGTATTCGAGGTACTGTAAATACAATCCAGAAGTTGGTCGCCCGAATAAACGCAAAAGGTTGAAAGAATGAGGAAAGCCGCTAGATGAAACTGCACACAAAGTGTGCTCAAGTCGTGTAAGACAAACTGACGGGTAGCACACTCAAAAGGATGTCACTTCAAGCAATGTAACAAGTGCCACTTTCAACATTGAGCATGTCGAAAACATTGCAGTCATCCCTTGACTCACAGTATCACAACCCCGAAAATCTTGAAGCCAAAATTTCTTTGTGCTGAAACTCGAAAATAGCTTATGAATACACCCGGGTAGTATCACAAAGATTAACTCCATATGTAGAACCACTGATTTAAATGTAAAGAAGTTGACCCTGTTTCAGCTTTGTTTCTTGCACTGTTTCATTAGTTAACACGATCAACATGGGTGACTGGGGCTCGACTTTGTCTGACGATCACGACACGGTATCGCAGGGAGGGGTCTTATAACACATTGGTCACAATTCAGTGTGCTTTAATTACTCACCTTGTGCGTTTACAAAGTTAACGCGAGGTGATAACTTAGCTCCATTCCGTTCACGGAAGACATGTGGAGTTGCTTTTGCAAACACTATCTCCTGCCTAGCCCTTAACGCATTGGCTGCATTGGACGCCAACTGCAGTTACTGGAGGGAGGACTTGACAAGATAACCTTTCTCCCGTCACTTTTGCTGTGTTTTAGGACTGAAGGTATCCTCCCGAACTCGAAGATCAGATTTAACGAGGTCAAGGAAAGTTCGTCCAAGTCTACATGAACGGTTGCGAATTTCCGAAAGGAATATCACTGCCTTAGTTATAGGTAGCTTTAGCAAACCAGAGCTTGTGATATTCGATACCCGTCCAATCACATATGGCAAGCCCATTAGGCTGGACAGACGATATCTCCCAAATACCAAATTAAGTTCAAACCTTGCTTAGACACAGATTAGCCCCAAAGGACTCACAAGACTTCCCATTAGGAGATTAAATGTGCACTTAACTAGACGTCCATGATCTCCAAATACAGTTTAACTTTGTTCCTCTTTTGTTGTTTGCCGAACAGCTACATAATGTCCTGTCAAGTTTAAAATCAAGATCTAGCGAATAAGACAAACTAAGCAAATGCCACGGTGATTAAGTGAGCTCCACTGCTTAACGCCAAAAGTTATCGACCCATTCTCAGGCACACATGGGAAGCCGTGGCGAGTTTGCACACAACTACTTGAAACGGAAGATCGCATCTCAAGCGCACCCAGCAGTCCATGTGATTTCATGAGCTCCTTGCGTTAAGACTCTCATAGCTAACGAGCGATTTCCGGAGTCCAAATACGCGTTCCGTCGATCCGAGACAGAGGATTTTGTCAAAATACTCCATCCTGGTAAATCCACCACCTTTTAGCACGACCCTAAAAGATTGCGGTTGCAGTTTAAAAATATGACAGGTTATGTAAATGAGCGATGACTACCGCTACTACGATGTGCGAAATATACAACTTTATTTGCTTTAATCTCATAATAACAACAACAGAAGTATCTAATCCTAATCAGCGGCTGACATTCGCCATTTCATTTCCTAGCAATCATAAAGCCTGAAGATTGAAAAACCATTTCTGGTAATCACCTTTTCATACAGATGGCAGCGTGCTTTACGACCTTCTGCGCTGTCAATTACCTTTGCTCTGTACGACTTCATGTGATCTGAACGATTTAAAACGACGAGCTGCGGTACTTGCAGACAGCCCTCTATCAGCGTTTGATCACGCTTTAGTCAGTCCTGCAGTCTGTGCGGCTTCTCTGATCGTTACGTTTTCCCACCAAATCGCGTCACCTTTAATTTCGAGTTCTAGGATAGCAAGAGGACCATTTCTGACTTCAAATGGGTTGCAGTTGGTCGGAGTAACAACAACCCAGAACACCAGTGCAGGCATGTGACCACACTTGCGCTAAACAGTGCGTTGGCTTGTGAAGACGGTCACGTGATTGGCATTGACAACTAAACAGCAGACGTACCCTAATCATGGAGTCACTGGAGTGGCGGGTCCCGCACGAGGCAATTAATGATATTTAAAATCGAAATACATTCCTTTAAAATAATTAACGAGGACGACCGTGAACTTGACAAATCCCGTTCAGCGAAAGCGGAAAATTGCACTGTTGAGGTACCAAAAAATCCCCCCACATGCCACTTTCCTAACAATCTAGTGGATTTACAATGGAAAGGTGGAACCTACATTAAGAATGCCAAGATCATGACTGTCACCAGGTAGACATTTAAAACGGTACAGGAATTTGTTTTGTGACAAGAAACGTGAGTTCACACCTACAGAAATTAGAGGGAAACAAGTGGAAATTCATACAATTCTCTTGGAGGGAGGTTCTTAAATCTTCACACATACGCCTACTTATTTCAGCGCATGTCAACCATGTACGTTTTTATCGACTCGAGTCACCATCGACATTTGTCTTCGCATTTTTCGTGGCTGATCGGGCCGCGAGAAACTTACTAGACCTGCTGTCCTGAGTTGGGATCGAATCGTGCACTTGAACGCACATCTACGTCAAAAAGCAACCGTGAGACCAACGGCTGGTTAAAATGACAAGGTCTCGTGTGAAGTCGGACCAAAGAATGCGACATCGGCGTTGGTTACTATTTCGATCGTCTTAGAATGAAATAGATCGGTTCAGAACTTAAAAAGTAGAACATGCACGTAGTGCGAAAACTACCCTGAAATAACATCTGGATCGGATTACAAGTGTAGAAAATGTAGTCGCACGAAATTGGTGGCACCTTAGATAAGCCGTTGCCAGGTGCATGAGATTTGAGGGAATTGACGATGATTGAGGCTGCAAGAGCATCCCAAATAATGCAAGGGTGAAGGCAGCCAGATACTATGAACATTAGATGTTACCCTGGCGAAAAAAATTACCAGACTTTTACTACAATCGAAGTAGAGCTGAATTCATCACGGCCAGTATAGTGGTATCTTTGTTGACAGGTCGGATCGTTGCGCTACGGAAACGCACACAACCAGGCTTAAATCTAACGATTCCCAGAGCTACTTAAGACAAATAAACCCATCCTTGTGGTGTGCTGAGAAACTATTCGCAAGCCTATCGCATGAAATTACCAAGCCGTAATGGAGCATTCAGCTTAACCAGTGATTTTACTGGGCACATTTAGGGAAGCGCGAGATTAGCGAGCTTCAAGGCTTTTAATTAAAACCTCATTAATAGTCGCCCACACGAAACAGTTTTGTGAATAGAAGACAAAGCTCGAAGTAAAGGCATATTTTTCGGTTACAAGCATGTATACCAGAGGAGGGACAAACTCTTTAAAGGCAAAAATAAAATCCCATAAGCAGCCAAATGAAAGGTAGTAGTAATGATGGCACTGGCGGACTGTTGCTTTTGCGCTCAATTTGAAGCGGTCACATGCGCACCGAGGCCAGGAGCTAGACTAATGTTACCAGATTTTGGAGGTGGCGGGTACGTGCATAGCATAAGATTGCGATGTGGTCATACAGTCGAAAAATATCACTGGCCGTTTCCAAACTGCATAGTAACTGGCACACGACCCCTCTAGAGCTGCAACCGATTGGACACCTCGCACACTAGCAGCAGCAACAGCACCTCACAAGGAGTCTAATTTCCTAGTTTACACGAGTGGAGATAAATCCTACGATTGCGAAGACGTCTTATTCTCGTTTGTTTTCAATGTTAATTGCGTGGCACAAAATATTTCTCGGTTGACAGGTTGTGTATGGGCGAGCATAGAGGTATCTAGCTTTGCAGCAAAATTTTATGTACACGGGATTGGTTTGAAGGGAAGATATCTGGAAGTAGGAATGAACAGAGAACCATAGAGGAAAGTAAATGCAATATGTATGTACATGGGGACGGGAGTGAAATTGTTAAGCTCATGTGTCGGTATTGGAAAGTATGACACTACGCAGAACAGGGACTTAAAATCCACGAAACCAACCTTCGCTCAGCGTGGCCTGCTGGTGGCTAGCCGTTTAAGTGAAATGGGCATTGTGGCATTTTTTGCACCTGATTGCTGCTGATTTTTTCCACTCTGAAGTGCTGTTGGTGAGTTATACTTTCCACACTTATCACCAATCTGAGCAGGACTGCATGAGCTTGTGCGAACAGAGGATTTGGCAGACGACCAGGTCTTTGGGCGGTCACTGGTCGATTTGGAAGCTGCTACTACCTTTTCGGACTGGTCACTACAGCAATGTCCCGCCTGATGAAGTTGGGAGCATCGCCGTTTTAATCGATGACCGCCTTGGTTGACGCCACTGCCTTCAGATTCCTCGTTGCTCGATAAACAAACATTAGCTACCGCTGTGCTATGAGACTGTACCTCGGGAGCAGCTGTGGTGAATGTGGAAGAACCGTTTACTACAGATCCACCGCCGCCACCACCTCTCCTCAAAGGTCGACGTCTTCGTCGAACAGACTTGCCACCTCTTAAATGAGTGGGCGGAGGAGGAGAACAGGAGTCCGCTTCCATATGTTCACAGTTAGGAATCTCGACGACCTTACCAGCGGAAACAGCAGTTGGCTGAGGCAGCGGCGATGGTGCAAGAGGCTGTGGGGGTGGAGGGGACCGACAAGATGATTCCGCCAGTTTGTTATGACATGGACTACAGATATTCTGTTCGGAAGAGGCTAACCGCAAAGGAGCGAGTTGACTTGCTAGGTTTGAGCAGGGGTTTGAAGCGGACGCGGACCTGATATTCCTAAAATATGTAAACAAGAAAAGCACTCAAGCCCGTGATGTTATGCTACTCAAGCAACTTTAGTCTAAGTAGCTGGCGATGTGATTAAGTTAAACTTTACAACATGTGTGGAGCTGCTAGGATACACGCTAATCCTCTAATACATTCGTAGTCTAAAATCAGCGATGAACTTGGACAGGCCTTGTGATAATCGTCGCTATCAAATCGGATTATATGTAGGTGTAAAAGAATACAGAAGATACGCTTTTCGGAACGCAAAGTACCATCTCTTCGAAAAAAGCTACACAGGCAAATTGCCCGTGCTTGGACAGGCGATTGTAAACCAAAAAGCTTGTAGACAGATGTGAGGACTCATACTTCACCCGAAAACGTGTCCTAAAGCCTGCCAAACGGCTCCATAATATAATAACTTAGCTTATGGCTCTAGCTCAGAACTGTATTTACAAAGGAAACTCAAGGTAAATATGAATAAGCCAAAACACTAATCACCTGCTGAAAGTAGAGTGGAAAAAATCCACACATGTGGTAGAACCGGAAAACAATGTGGGACTAAAAATAATACGAAACTACAGGACCAGGAACTAAACAAATAAAAACGTTGAAAATGAGGCCCTTCAACTTGGCAAAAAAACCAGAAGTCAGTGTTTAAGCATGTGCAACATGAAACAAAAATAGAAAAGTGAATGTCTCAAATTACTTAAAATTTCGATCAGCGGCCTGTTGCTGAAGGTCCCGGGTCTTTTGGCGACCCTCCGAAGTGGCCGCATCGTGATTTTCGCCGTTGCTGGCTTCTTCATTGATATCGGAATCCGTAGGTAATTCATCACAGTCGGAATCACTGTCAGGTAGGGCAGGAGACATAGCAACCGACTCATCGTCAATTGGTGAGGAAGTCGCCAGAAGTTGGGTGGGTACATAATTGGGTTGGGCAAGCATTTGATCAGGAAAAGGCACGACGGAGGAATGTGAAAGAATAATGAAAACTGGTTTTGAAGTGGGAGTACCGGAAGTAGTGGGTACGCCACCTTGAGTGTTTGGCAGATGAAGTATCAGGGGATCGTAAAATACCGGCTGGGGTGGACGGTACAAGAAATGGGGCGGGTGAGGCGACAGAGCCAGCATCTCGCCACCAATAGGGGTGCGCAGGAAAGCCGGAGGACGTGTTGCGAATCCACGCGCAGAAACAATAATAGGTTCCTTAGATAGCGAAGGGCTAACACCTTGCCTCTGGTCTCCAGAACCTCCTCCAGGTGATATAACAGGATTTGCAGAATTTGACTGAGACGAATACGAAGGATTAGATTCCGATAGTTGGGTGTGGAGAGGAAGTGAGTTCGACTTGGGGTGCGGTTGGGGCACAACAGGAGTAATGAATGATGGAATAATTTGGTACATAAAAAGAGCGTGCGCCCGTACGCGCCGGCGACTTTCCACTGTGGCCTGTATAGAAATAAAACAATTAACCATTTGAAACAATGACAGTGAAACAAAGCAAAATGCATACCGATGAGATCTGTAGAATCTTTGAAAGAATCGACCCTTCGTTTTCAGCGTCGGAACGCAGAGCACTTGACAGTGCCAAATAGGCGTACTCAAATGCTTGTCTGACCTGAGGCGCCCCATAAGAACGTCGACCAACATTGTTTCCAGGACATAATGGGTCTTCTATGCATAAAAAAGAGGGGCCAGAACCAGGTTCCATATTTTTGAGAACGGCCTCTTTGCGTACATATGAACCAGACCCAGTGACTCTAATAGCGGTGGTTGCGTAATTGAAATTTCGTCCGTATAATTCAAAAAACTCCATGAGAAGAGTGCCCAGATTGACGTTTTCCGGCTTTTCATCCTCTTTTCCATTATGCTGATCGAAAAAAGCAAGAATGACAAGGTACACAAAAACAAAATCGGGACAGGAAGTTGACTCACCTGTAGAAAACTGATACACATCAGAATAAGAGCATAGGAGCTAATTCCACCGGTCCAAACTTCATTTAAATCCCGTTGAAAGAGAAATTGCTTCAATACAAATACGAGGTATCGAAGGCAGGGGAACTTTTGGATGAAACCACCGATCATATCGACTGCACGCACACTATTGATCATATTGAAACTAATATCGAGGTGGAGACCCGTATCAGCATCGGTTAGCTTAACGATGGGAACAGTAGCTCTGGATAGAACCTTGATATCCGAAGCAATTCTACTACTTCTCAGAGCATTTTCCAGGGTACTTAAAGGCAAGTTTAACCATTTGCCAAAAATAACCACATCAATATCACTGGTAGGCAGATAAAGCCCCGTACTAAAGCTACCAAATACATCCGTCTGAGAAGGTTATAAATAAAAACACGCCTACCCGGCATTCCGGCCACAATGAGTAGACGATATTTTTCACCTTAGCAACAACAATTTCACGAACCCAATGCTCTTCAGACGTAGGACCAATAAAGTTAACAAAGTCAATAATTTCTTCATGAAGCCTGCGAAATAATGTGTAATCACTTTGTTTTACCCGACAACACCTGGCCTGTACACCCGGTTCTTGGGTTTCCAGACAGCATCCTTATCTAACTGTGTTGAATAAATCAACTCCGAATTATCTTGATTCGAACCACCGTCGAATACAGGAAGTTTCGTCTGATATGAAAGGTTATGAGCAACTGCATTGTTCATGACAACTAGTGCAATTCGAAATTTAAAAAATAGTACAAATGTTGTTTTGGGGTCTGAATTAAGGCTTTAGCATTAACAGGAGCAAGGCTTACTTTACCAAGGATACACAAAATCCAAGAAGACACCCCAACGTGTTAAAATAAAGTTACCGCCAAAAGAACTGACTAAACAAATCAATTTGGAACACAAAAATGCAGTTCATTTTGTGCTTAGAATCTATTTAGAACAAGCTGTGTTTTGTCCAAATTTAAATTTCTCTTAATATTTATACCTAATACTTATAAATTTAGCAAGACAGAAGCAATACAATTTAAAAGAACTTGAATTTCGAACACACATACATAAATGTGAACAGGGTTTACCTACGTTTGAGATGATCTGCAAAATTTTAAATGGATATGTTATATTTACTGGATAGTTTACTCATAGGAGACTCATCAACAAATTCTTTATTTCCTGCCCCACTTACAACTGCCACGGCGTGCTAAAATTATGGGGATAAACCACGGGTAGCTATACTGAGGTATAAATTAAAGTAATCTTACACGTAAAGATGCAGGATTATAATAATATTCTCCGAAGTTGAGAATAATAATATTATTATCCAGAGTTGTTTAATGTTTATAAAAGAAATAGGATGTGGAAATTTTCTTTTTATTCCTTAGCCGAAGTGTTCACGGATCAATTCATATAAGCAGGTGGGTATGAGAATTAGAATGCGATCCCTAGAAATCTTTTCTGAAAAGATACAAATGATAATTTCGGTTATGAAATGCATGTTTACTGGATACAATATTCTGAAATGAGAGGGTGTAGCAAATGCGATTAAAATACGTAATTCACTATCGATTGCAATATGCTCATTGCTAAATGCCAAGCTTTTCAAATCTGTTGATTGATGCAACTTATTCAGTCACATTTAATTTAACAGAATTTAAGTTTGGAACCTCGCAAAAATACATCTACCCTAACATTACCTATTCTTTGTCAGGGAACTTGCGGTGGCTTATTTTCGGCTAAGTTCCATTGCTAAAACCAGGACATTGAAATGCTTATCGTGAGAGCAATTTCAGTTTAAACGAACAAATACTAAGTAAAGCGTAAACGAACATCAAAGATATGTGCATACTGGGATTCGGACTTACAGAGGAAAGTTGTTGATGGTTATGTCCTCAGTTAAAACATACGCACTTCGAAATCCAATATTTGAATTATTGTAGAAGAAGTCAAAGGAAAAAAGTGCCAAGTTATGGACTCAAAGTATTTGTAAAAGTTTTTTAAAACTTTTTTTTGCCTGGAAAAAGTCGCTAAATGAAAATTAGCAACATCACACCAAGGAAGTGGTCATAAATGAGTTAATATTTCCCACTAAAAATGTATTCAATGAAGTCCAACATACTCTACATACGGAGTATATAAAAGAATTATTCACGAGTCATAAAAGCGATTATTCTAAAAAACACGTTATTGCAAAATCAAGGTATCTGAAACACACATATAGATTCTACAAATTCACTTACAAGTTATCCAAAATTTGTAGCTAGAATTATTTAAGACTTATGAAATCCTAACTGCAAAACAGAAAATGTCCTTTAAGTCATACCCAATAGCATTTACCAATTTCCTTTCTGGTAGTTATGGTGTTTAGAGAAAAACGATGCTTGAAGTAATATGAGTTTTTTTACAATCGAATTCGAACTCGCATATTACTTGATCTCTATTAATCGTAGTTGCTCTAAAAAAGGTCACATGTAAACAACAATGTCAGGGAAACCTGCATTTCTAAATTAAATTCCTTTTGTAGAATTACTTTAATTACCCTTTCACATAATTAAACACACCTCGAAAAATATCACTACATACAACACTCCCTTATTTAGAGGTTACTTTCATGCTTTTCGCCCTTGATCAAGTTCGAGAATGTCCCTTCAAGCTTCTAGACGTCAAATTTGTAGTAGCTTGATCTTAGCACTACCTTACAACCCTCTAATTAACAGCCCAAGACAACTCGAGTAGAGTGGAGAAGAGGCGAGAGCGGACACGACTGGTTTATTGATGTCAAAACAACCAAGTGACTTTGTCTGCGTCTGAGCACGCGTGCGTAACAGACGAATGCTGACAAAAATCAATAACAAAAGGGGATGAGTCATCGCTACACACGGGCCTTCATGCACGCACACTCGCGCGGGGCGGCTGTCAGTCCACTACAAATTGTTTTATCGACGTTGACGAGTTAAACAACTTTCTTCGATCGTCCCTATAGGGTTACTACAACCACTGCATAATGATGCATGAAGTCACACCACCTCACATTCATTTTGCTAGGTGACATCGTTTTCCGGCCTTCGATGGCAAACTGTTTGCAATGTCTCAAATTGCGCTGCTTCGATAGCAGTCACAATTACTTCTAACAACCACCGCGCTGCTCAGACAGGACGTATCTTTGAATCCCTTCGTGTCCACTCTTTGCCTCCACCATTCCACTTTAATCTTGCATTAAAATGCGAAGACGGTGAAAAACCCCTATGGCACATGCGATAACTTTGAGAAACGATCGCCACTGAAATCGATCCACCACACATTCTTGCAAGCTAGTCATCGCGCCCATCTGCTAAGACGTTTCCCTTGGGAACATTGCACACACCAACTGGACCACAATCCCAGCGTGGCCCTAAGAAGTAGTACCTATGCCACGAGCCGTTATTACTCTGCCATCTTTATTAGAACCTCTCTACGTTGTGCATTGCTGGCGTCAATCACCTTGCGGAAGAGTACACCGGCCCCACACTGGACAGATATAAACTACCAACTATCGTACAGGTTTACTTCCCGCTAGCAAGGTCGCTCCTTCATTTTTTCCCCATTCGGCACATCAACCTAGTAACAACTACAAGGTCTTCTTAAAGAATACATTTGGGGATTTCATGTTAGTCTCAAGAATGTTGTTTGCCAAAATATGTTGGCATGAGACAGTATTGCAATTGGCTTCTAAAGGATATACTACATTACCGCTGTTGTACCGCTCTCTACACAAGACATAAACAGAGGAAATAATGTGCAAGTCTCCAAAATGGTTACAAAACTTCAAGATGAAAAGTTCGCGAATGCTAGTGCATTCGATTCGAAAGAAGCAATTGAAGCAACAAAGTTGGGTAAGAATGACAAATCAGGTTTAAACACCTGTAAATGTGAAAGTTCCTAAAAACTATCAAGTAACTTCGCGGCGTCACCAAACTGGGCGAGTACAAGGCAATAAGCAAAACGCTGAGGTGTGATTCGTTGGTAAAAACAACTGCGGAGTCCCATGGAATTTGCTGGCCCTAGGAGCCAGTCGGCAGCCCACGTCAGTTGCAGAAAGTGATACAATTTGCGACGCAGAGATCCTTGAAATTTATGACACAATTTGGAAAGCTTCATTGCCTCCGACTCGGCAGCGGCCCACATTTCATCACTGTTTAGGAGACTTTCACCAACCTTCTTCCTTAGCTTTGAGAAAACTGTCTTTGGGGGCTAAAAGACAGGAGGAGATCAACCACAATTGAAAGCTTACACTCAGATAACTGAAAGGGCACAGCACGATAAAACGCGCTATGACAAAGTAAACATCAAAGTGTGGTGGTATTGGAATGATGCTCAAAGGATTCTTGAATTGTGTCGTAGGCGCTAAGTCAGATGGTGGTGAGTCAACGCTTAGTAAAACTACACTTGGCAAAAGAACACGTAGTTAGTAATAAAAATATCTCAGCAAGAATCAGTGGGCTTATTAAACATGGTATTTTACTACAACGAAAATGACAAGTGACCAAATGTGCGTTTTACTAACGTAGGTCGAAAAACAGGAAGATGTGCCTTGAAGGGAAGTACTTGCTTTTCGCAAATCCATCACAAAAGACTTTAACACAAAGCCGGTAGAAACCAAAATTGACGCAAGTAAATCTGGTTAAGAGTAAAGCCACGTACAAAAATGAACCGATACAACAGAACGAAATACGTATTCTTACAGACCTTTCAATCTCCACCACTACGCAAAATGATAAAAGTAAATGATAGAAGTAAATAGCGAGATTGCAAGAAACTGTGGTCTCACGTTAATTCGACGCAGAGTTTCACAGTAAAAAGGGAGAAATCCCCTGAACTGATTCACCAAACACCAGACATGCAGAACATCAGCCACTAAGCAAGCTGGTGGACGTCTAGACGGGTCGCGCCGCAAACATGAACGCAAGACCCAAGCGATCACACCAGGCGCACCAACCGGAATCAAAGGGAGGTCCGATTCCGCGTAGTCCAAAGACGTCAGTTGCTTTAGTAACAAAGAAGAATTCGCCAATTAATAAAAGAACTGATCTGTACTAACACCATGCCTTCTCGAGGTAGTCTCACAACGCCAAGACCAACAAGTCACAATTCTCGTTTAGCAGCCTGGGTCGACACTCTTGCCTCTCCGACACAAAAAACGCCATACCGTTAAAGTTGACACGATTGTCAAACATTTGTTATTCACCCATGGACATTTAATTTATAGCAAGTGACCATCTTTCACTCAGTATCAAGCATAAACTTACTAATTATGAACGAAGTGAAACAGCTCAATTTGGGGTTTGTTGTAAAAGCATATCCAAACAAAAGAGGATTAGTTTGAGCCGCTTCGCAAACTCATACAATTTTAGCTCTACTGTGGCTTGAATTCAAACCATGGCTTGTTGAGGAGACCCAGAAGTGAACTCAAAAGCTATCTACGGAAGTCAAGCTGGTTACATAACAACCTGCCCACAATTAATGCCGTGAAAGTATTCAGTTACTAAATATGAATTTGTGATAGATTAAGGAAGGTGAGAATCTTACACCTGACAAAAAAGGATTTTCCCCCCCGAAAACCTGGTAGGCTATGGAAGCCGCAGACCAGAGGTCCGCACGGGAGTAGTCTGGGATTAAGTGACGCTGTTCGTGGTTATTGGAAGCAAAGTACGTTGCAACTTCGGGAGCCAACAGAACAGTATTGCCGGTGTGAGAGACGGAGTCCTGACTGTAACGGTCGTCGGAGTCAGCGGTCCGAATTGCGCAACCGAAGTCTGTCAGCGCGGCATGCAGACGCGTGTTGGCTGTTTTTACTGCATCAACTAGAGGCGAATACACGAAAGACACACGAATTTGTGACGAAATAAAGCAGGGCAACAAGAAGACATGAGCAGCAGACAAGGAAATACAAATTCCGGGACATTTCAGGCACCTATGAGAGCGAAGGTAATTTAGCAACCAGTGACTTAAAACAGCTTTCGGTTTTAAAATCCCTTATCAGGTTAAGCCGATGGCGGTGGCCTACACACCGCGTGGCATGATTCAAACCGCGTAATTAACCAATAACTGGCAACGATAGCGTTACAATTCGACCGCTTTCCCACAAAATTATGCAGATGTGTCGCGGGCTTATTTTCCCGTAGTGGCAGGCCACCATTTGCGCTAGTTGGTGTGAAACCTATCTCCAAGCTCTTTGTAGCGTTAGTTTGATAATGCAACAGAATCACAAAACAGATTGATTTGGATTTTCCGTTATTTCAACTAACATGAGTTAGCATTCATGCGACTCACTTCCACGTGAAATTAACAGTGGACCGCCTAGATGCCTTTCTGCGAGCATGAGTGCTTTTTTATTAGTCCGACTTGTCACAATTATAGCTCTTTAATAACAGCAAGCATGGACTTGCATCGGTTTTTTCATCCCTTGCAGTGAAACACGATTTGTACACCTGAACCCACTGATCAACCTTACATTTACCGTTAATAAGCAGGGGACCTAGTTTACTTGACAATACATCCGATACCCAAGTTGGCAAATTTAGGCTTATCCGTGCACTTAATAAATTGAGTTACAATGAAAAAAAAACTAGGTAAGTGAAATCCGAATCCGGGATATTTGAGTAGGCATGATTTCACAGCGATGTTGTGGATTAATTTTACCACGTTTGGAAAAAATGGCAAGCAAGACGTGGGGATGAATGTGCATAGCTCATGACGGATGTTGAGAAGGAAAATCGAACAACTTTCCCACATACTATTTAGCACGTTACTCGCAGCTGGAAACTGTCTAGCTTTGACAAGAATATTTGACGGCTTGATATCACGATGTGCAATGTGGTGATGCTCCAATACGGCAACGGCCTCGAATATTTGAGCCATCAGTCCAACTGTTTCCTGGGCGTGAAAGCGATAGGGCGGGATGAACGGAATAGTAAGCTCGTTTGATTGTGGCTGCTAAATTTGAGAAAAAAGTAAACTGTGTGCATACATGCGCGGGATAAGCCATTAGTAAAAAAAACCGATTTGTTCTCCAAAAGCACTCCTTCACATCTACACCACAACCGTCAATACGTGTCCCCATCTTCCAGAAGATCTATGCAGAATTTTACAGACATGGAGAGATACTTTACCGGCTTATCAAATTCGTAAATTTAGCTCTGGTGTCAGAAAACCGCGTGTTTTTGGGAAGATAAATCCCACTGGACAACGCGATCGACCGAGCTCAATGTCTTTTGAGCATATGGAGAAGTGACCAGTGCTGAGAATACAGTTAGTCTAAATCTGAGGTATAGATATGAACACCAGTATTGCAACCTTGGATTCTAATGTTTGCGCGCGCAGCGTGATAACTCGGAAATGCTGACCTTGAGGCAACCACCAGATGTTTGCGAAAATGGAGGAGGAGGAGGAGGAGCAGAATCACAGATGGCAACATTTGTTTCCGAACCCCACTTCCCGCTTACGTGATCTTCCAGGGAAGCGTCAAACCTGAAATAAAAGATGATTCACGAATTACAACATGTTACAGAAACTAAAGACAACTTGCGGGAAATCAAAGGCTTCACAATAAAACATGCCACGGATTGTTTTTGCTGATACACCGAAAGTGTGTTACAGATAGGACCATTAACTGTGCATCAAATTGGAGTGTGACTTCAACTGGGACAGAAAAAAATTGAGGTGAAGGATATTTCAGTAAAATCAAACAAGCAAGCATTAAAAAATAAAAAAAGGATCACGCAAACACGGGGAAGGCTTCAAGGATTCCGTAAAATGTTGGCATAACAAGTGGGAAGGAGGATCGAAGTGGTTTTCGTAATTTAAGCGTCGGAAATAAACCATATGAACAGTGCTTCGGTTGCTAACATATCTAGTAAAATTTTTTCGTCAAAGAAAAATTACTTTTGCAGTATTAAAAAAACCTAAATGTTAAATACTAAAAGATAAAAATCCCACAACTCGATAAGTTGGTTTAGAGCAGCCAAAAATCACTATAATTTTTGAATAAGGTTTCCATTGTTTTGTAGCCCCTTTCGGTTGCAAGAACTATGAAAGATACACATACGGTTATCTACAAAAAAATTCTACAAAGCAGGAGATTAAAAAAACTAATTGGAAGAATACAAGTTTAGTAGAACACTGTAACTGAAACTGTTGTCACAAAAATAGACCTCTAGGGACCACAGCTATTATTATTTATACCAGGAAACACTACAGACATGTAAAAAACATCTTAACACACATTCGAACCTTATTTGTATCTAAGATTACCTATGTCTATTTAGGGAGGCGAATTAAATGATCAAATGACAAGTAACGTGAAAGGTTCGACATCTTACAAACGGCCACATGGTGGAGAAACGGTACGCCGTAAAGCACTAAGTGACAAGGGCAATATGACCCCTTTTGAGCAACTGGGAATAATGAAATGGCGGTCCTACTGGAAAAAACAGTTAAGCGAAAAATGATATTTAATGGAAACCCGTGGCCATTCAAAAACGAGGACCCAATTTTATACATGAGGCTGAACATTGACAGACCAATTCTTGCGGTTATCAGTGAAAACAAGATAAATTGGATTTAAACCCATTACAAACCTTGGCATAAGGAGATACCAGGTGCGTGGACGACCGCCAAATCCATGTGGGAATCTCTCCACATTCTCCCAACTTTCTTCTTTATCATTGGAGTTAATGGGTGGCGCGCGATCAAAGAGGTCCTTGAGGATGGGAACGATGTTAGGATGTTCATCTGGTGGTCTCAAGCATACCTCGCGATACCTCTGCTTATGAAGTTGATGCCACTGACTGGCATCACAGCCAGTGGAGGACTCGGAGTCAACTCCATTTTCAGCAACGGATGACGCATAGTAATTGTAGAGTACCTTCACAACCAGACCCGAATTATTGGAAAGCGTGCCTTTGAAGTCAAAGAGAGAAATAATCGTGCGAATTTATAAAAAAAGATAAGCCCCAAAACAAAAAAAATCACGATATGGACAGGACAACTCAAACGCTGTCCACGAAACTGCCACGAGATATTGCCACGTGAACAAGAGCTAATTAATTAGTGGATATTAAAAGGAGTTAAGACGCCCATTAGGGTCGGCAAAACTACATTAACACAATTTTATACTGATTCAGTTTATAGCGCTCTTTTTTGGAAAAGTATTAGTTCCAAACCATCAAATGCTGAAATGTGATAAATTAAGAGACATAGGTATTACGCATTCAATAACGCACATGTAAACTATACAATTGACATTTTTCCACTAAGGAATCACCTTGTCGTGTTCTAGTATCATTGTGCGGATGACTTAAAGCCCAGACAGCACCAAACCCACCACAAGAAAGGAATCTGCTGGGCTTAAAAGAGGTCGGACAAAGGTTCTCTAAAGAGCTTTGACGAAGCTTGAGTGGAGCTTTAATTTTATTGCTGGAGACGCTAAAAACGAAAGCGGAGTAAATATAAGGGAAAAAACCAAGGCAATCAAATGGGATTAGAACTCGAATTAGATAATGGGGGACACGCGTATATAAATTAACATGCCAGAATATGCCTCCTAGCCAAGGATTTATACCAAGTACGAGCATAATAATACTGAGATAAGCGAAGATGCATCATAAAAAACCAACTCGGCTGATGAGTCAAACTCATTCCGATATCGAACGATTGCCGCCATATTGCTGAAGGCTCTTATCAGAGAGTTGGGGTAAGCGAAGGTACTCGAAGATAAAATTAATCTATTCATCCTCTGAGCAATCGTGCGGTACCGATGGAGGAAGGGATTGTGGTTCACTATAATGTTTCTTAATCCAGGCGAGATCCGCATATTAGGGACCCGGGGAAAGAACTGAATCCGAGTAACCAAGTATACCACCGTACCTTATACCCAAATTTGGTTTTAAGCCCAAACTTAGACGCAACGCTAAATATCCCTCTTATTCGTCTGATCATGACTCGGGCGAACGTGCTCACATTTCTCACAAAAATTAAACGTCGCGATAGAGCGCAGACATTTTGGACCAGACTGAGCTCAGCCAATCCTCCGGTTACGGGCGTCCAAATACCCTTCGAGGAGAATCAGCAGCATAACAGAGGGGAACACGAAAGAAAAAAACAATAAAATAACTGAATTAAGATGATCGAAAATGCCAAATGTTTTTGCATAGTTATCTGAATAACAATTCGGAGTCCCCGAAATGTATCCGACATATTAGCCATAGTAAAAATTACTACAAATACACCCTCAGATTTTTCCTACAAATTTTAATGCGCTCATTAATTCCAGGCAAGTTAGTAGCTGTTCTGGAGTACGCACACTTGGACAAGCCAACACAATATTACCTCAAGAGATTTTGTTGACAGCTTTTCTAGAAAAAATTACTAATTTTGCATTCCACACCTAGTGTTCAAGCATTACATTACAATCTGCAATCTTAATATTTTAAAGACTAAGCACTAAGCACCTCATGAGACAGTCATCGTCAAACGTGACAGCTCCACAAAAATCACATCGCTAACCAAGCAATTAAACAGGCGATAATCTAACCAGCTTTGAAGGTTTTATCATGTGTAATTAGTTCTGCTTTGTTTACACAAATTTTTAGTGGAAAGTCAATTCTGTTCAATTACGAATGTCCCTTTTAAAGGGCGTTGAAGAATTTTAAATAAGTATATTTCAAGGTGGGACCTTAATTTTCATAGTATTATGATAAAAACATGGCAATAAGATGAGTCATCGACATTGACCACTTCTTTCCTTACAAACGTTTTATCAAAGAGACGTGTTCTCTTGCCACTTTTCCTTTTCTCGCCTGTGTGTGATGTTAACACGCTATAGACTAATCCAATGATGATACTGAAATCAGGGCAAGACGTGGCTTTTCTGATTAGATGCAAGTTAAATAAAGCGTGAGAATTATAAAACAGCTACCTTGTAGGTTTGCGTCCCTTATTAGCCGAATACCACACCTCTTAATGAAAGCGCTAACGTTACTTAAGCTGTGTCTTGACATAAGAAGCAAATGTGCGAACATTGACAGTGTACGAGAGACTATGGCCCACGCTCGAACGCACACCCTAAATGACCGGAAAAAACAAAAGGCGACTTGGAATATTTGATAACGTATGTGTAAATACTTCAAATATAAATATTGCGACAAAATTTATTAAATAGAAAACGCTTTAAACAAATGCTAGAATAAAATATAACGGCTACGGTAAACCTCAAATATATTTTACCTTATGCGTTACTCATCTAGTGAGCCTTTAGGCAAAACATCAGACATAATAGAAATGGTGATTGGCAATAAAGGGTTGAATTAAGCGAGTGCAAATTCATGTAACAGAGATCCAAATAGAGATGTTCTTGAAATCGATGACCACTTCAATCTTCCCAGTAATCTCCTAGGGCACCGAGGCCTCTAACAATCAGACATGCATACCAGAAGTGTTGCATAGATGCACACCAGTGGCGTCGAAATTCGTAGTAGGCGATATTCAACAGTTTTGTCGAATGATTTGATAGGTCAACCACCCACTTCACTTTCAGTTATATGATTCAGCACACTCAAAATATTTTAGATAATGAAAACACTTAGGAATTCTTAGCGAAAGTACTACCAGTTTTGGCTACGGCAAACGGCCGTGATGGAGTGCATTAAATGCATACTTCGCTCCGAGCACAGAACTGCGTTTTTCTCAACGTACGCGTTGTTACACGGGAGACTTACTTTGTGACCTTGCTTTTTAAACTTTTCGAGATTTATCTTTATCCTCTCAATGCTCATATTGTGCTCTGGAACTTGAAACAGGAACATTTACAGACGAGAAATCACCAGATTTCTCTGTTTTATACTTGTTATATACATTTACGGTCACATCACTTTCTCGACAACACATGTCGACCGATGTAAACCTGCTTGTGACTAATGGCAGAGATAATTGAAACAAACCATGAAAACTGCAAAATTTAAGCCAACAACGCATTTTGTCTGTGTAGAATGAATGGAAATGCGCATGTATAAAGACCAAGGGAGACGCACGCTATTCTATGGAGTCGACTGATGCACAAGTCCGCATAGAACACATATGATAAAACACAATTTAGTTCCAAATTAACCCAAAAGTAACTTAACAGGGAATTAGGGAGGTGTGAAAAGTTGTCAGGGTCAACGGTACGCCCTGAATGTTACTCGCAGCCTGTCTCACTAACTCGAAATTTGCATATTCGATAAAATTCTTCACGATCAAGGCGAACACGATCACGTTAGGGGCGAAGTCAGGTCCCGCCCCAGTTCAAAAACAAGTCACATTAACGATGAGGTGATATTAATGTGAAGATGGAGGCGAGATAATCTAAGTATTTGGAATGTACATCACAGATAATTTGTGTTATATACAAACAAGAAACATAGCTGGCGTGAGGATAAAAAGAATAGTTAATGGTAATGGCAATTACTCGTACTTATCGGCATCCACATCGTCACAAACAATGGATAGTTCACAAGGTTGACATCGGATCGGTGAATTCGACAGAATTCGCAGTTCTTCAGCCTACAATATCACAGTGAGCATGAGATAATTCAGCCATTTTAGAGGAGTACTGGTCAACGAGTCCAGCTACACCTACTGAAAAAGGGTAATCAGGAATTCAGATTTCGCCTTTCCAAATCTGTAAACCCGTCAAGACCAACAACTCTACTGCAGATCGAATGTGATTTCCTTGTGGTGGACGTGAACATCAAGGTCATGGGTTGAAGGTTGCTTAATGATTTTCAGGACGTGAATCAAAGGCCCCAAAATGCAGCACTAAGAAACACTTAACATGAAGGCTGCGACTTCGCGTCGAAATGAGGAAACAGAGTGCGTGCGCCCTTTTAGCAGATGTTTTGAGCTACTGAATTTATGTATTTTTATGAGAAGGGGACTTACGGGACAGTCCTCCACCCGATATGATTGGGGAGCATCCTCAATTTGTTCATCTTCTGGCTCCCATTGGTTTTCAAATGTGTCCACGAACGAACCAACCGGTGACGCGATTGGAATGAATAGGGACTTAGAAAGAATGCCAGTATCGAGCATGTGCGTCTTAATGCTTCCAAAAAGTTCGGCAATCTCACTCATTCTTGGCCGTCTTTCAGGTTTGATATCCCACGACCTAGTAGGACGAATAATTAGCGTGAATACTAAGGCATTTATTACAAAATTTAGTGGAATATAACAATTGTAGTACCAATCCTGAGGGAACGACTTTTCATCAAGTGCCTCTGACCGATGATAACGTTTGACATTGTGACTTGTGAATACCTCACCTGTCAAAGAGACGTAGGAGGAAGATGGGGCAACCAGGAAGGGGCTTGGGGCGGCGGTGCTTGTGGACTTGCTGAATAAGTGTGACAAAAAATGGCTCATCCGGGGGACAGACGTGTTGCCGAGATAAGATTTCCCAAAAAGTCATTGAAGCCGAAAAGACATCACACTTTACACTGTATGTAACTGTAAGATACAAAAACTGCAAATAAGTCAGTTTATGGAAGTTCTTACACTGTACAAGAGTGGGTGAATGAAACATTTGCGTTCGAATAAGAGAATTAATAAATTAATAACGTCATTTCAATTTCATGCATTTGTAGCATATGATTTGCTTAAAAAATATTTCTTTACAAGCGTTTATGCCAAGGTGACTGTATAAACTTGGCCAAGGCAGTCCAAGTAGCCATTTTAATATAATCGGCATATGATTGTGGACATAGCTTTATGCATTTTCGTGGTCGACAAATGTGCAGATAATTTTCATAATAAACCTGCTCCTACAACCAATAGTACACACCGGTTTACTTGCGCTAAAAATCTTTGTCGGTACCACAACGGCTAAAATGAACCAATCACAAAGGATCAAGACCTCAAGAGTGAGATTATAACAAATAAACTGACTAGAGGCCGGATTCTCGGTAAGAAACTCTGGCGCCATAAACCCTCTAGTGCCACGTCGAGTCGAGCTCAGTGTTTTGGGCGACCCACAACACTCTGAAGAGCCAAAGTCACAGAGTTTTAAGCGAGAACCTCCACCAAATAGGAGACAATTTGCTGGTTTCACATCTCGATGGATTATGGGAGCTGAAGTACAGCGTTCATGAAGATAAGCCAAAGCCTCTGACAACTGGAGTATCCAGGTGAATGCGTTGCTCAAATTGTATTCCACTGACTTTCGTTTATGGATCACTGCAAGGAAAAGAATCATCTCTATTTTGCCAAAGGCAACAAATGTGTGAGGATCTTAGTCATGCCCCCCACTTATTAGCATCATCAAATAATGTAGGCTGCCAACAGATATCGAAAAAAGCCACTTTCCACAGATTTCTCAAAATGTGCACTAAACGACGAAAAAGAGGCTTCATATATTTATTTATCTAATAACAAGTTGAAAAAAAGAAAAACATAAGATTAGCTACGAATCACTATCAAATCGGATTTTTACATACTGGATATGTTTACGAGAGTTTAATAGTATGATTAGTTGTCAAAGTAAAATCAAAATAACCTGATGCAAATTATGAAATACTGTATGAGGAATATATACACAAACCTAGAGTTAGTTGAATTACTTTAAAAAGAAGGCCTCCTTAATTTGGGGACTAATTTCAATCAAATTTAGTAAGGTGGTGCAATAGAACATTAAGATAGATTTAATGTGGCAGCCAAAGGTTTATATTTTGTGGCCAAACAGGATAAGAAATGTTCAAAGCAAAGCGAGAGCACAACCGCATAATAAACTCACGATGAGACAGATCACCCTCGGAGGCGAATTCCGTAATTAGAAATTCCAGAAACCCATTTTGATAATCCGGTCCAGCAGCTAGTAAGTTCACAATACTTCGATGACCTTGCAATTTGCCAAGGATTTCCAATTCTTTTAAGCGTTTCCTTGGCGAGATCGAACTACGGAACCACTTTACGGCAACCATCTGCTCATTCAGTTTGGTCAAAGTAATCTCCCCTCTGAGGCCAAGTTGACCCAATGATGGTGGCAATTGTGAAACATTCGGTATCATCATTAAATTCTGAAAAGACACAACAGTCCACCAAAGAGACGAGAAAAAATATACCCAAATGATGAGCAAGGGTGGTTTTACGGTTCTCCAGTTCAAACTCTTAGCAAAAGATAGATACAAAAACAAGTTTATTGAAAAGTGTTATTCTTTGTCTTATGCGTATCAAGTGGTGCCAAAGAATACAATTTACAGACCTGCAAAACTTGCACACGACGGCGACCCCAGTTATTGGTAGAAGGCACATTTAAACTGCCGCTATGCCGTGGAGAAATAAATGTTTGTGACATTTAAGGTCACGTTTCACAATTTTAAGATGGCAGTTCATTCTCAAAATACTTATGATATAACCATGCTATTTGCAGCAGAAAATGACAAATATTATAACAACACAGAAGATTGCCCATCAGACGTATACTGGATAGTCTAAGTTTTACTAACCTAGGTTGAATTTTTGAAAGAATTAGTGCATATCTAGTTTCTCTTTTTTTGGGATTTGGATGTACTATATAATTTTTCGAAACGTTTAAGCGTAGATGTGTATTAAAAATTGCCCCTTTATTCAAACACAAACTTTTCCTCTACATATTACTTTCACCACGAAAAAAAGAGCTTTAAATTTGGAACGATTAATCACTAACAGCCTTGAAACTGGGTACACTTTAAAGTATCAACAAGCGATTAATACCGGTGTCACCTTCAAATGGTCCTATAGTGAATTTTAATGCAAAACTTTAGCTTCTTGCTTTTAATTTTGGTGATCTCAAATGAGTGAACAAATGATAACAATTCCATTAGGGATTACATTATATTTTTTGATATCAAGCACATATGGAATGCCCACAATTGCTAGTATTAAAACCTATTTTGCTGTATTGGAGTTTTTTGCTTTATTCCGGCTTCAAGGTACATGGAAGTTGCCTTGGTGTCAAACGTCCACCGCCACTCCCCACTCATAAAACATAAAATAAAACTTGGGTTAGCCCTGATATGGCTTCCAAATCTGCAAACACGAAACTATAGTTTGCGATAAAAAATTATTTAATGCACTTTACCTAAGATTCGGAAGAATCACCTATTGAACCCACCTACTCTCATATTTATTGAACATTGTTAACTTTTCGATGGAATTTTTTGCAATTTTTAAAAGGGCTGTGACCAGTGCGTAGTTCACTTGCCTAATGTAAACAACTGCTTATATTTTTATGTGAAATTTCATGATCGAAACATTCCATCTAGATATGCGAAATGTCAGCAAGGTTTGGCGTTATTAAGAAGCTGACTACCAACAATTATCGCGTTTTCCAAAAATTCTGCTAATTAAACAATTTTCGTTTGCACGTAAGCTTTTCTGTATGTAAAGGCTAAAATTTGCAAACGCCGTCTTTATCATATTGGAATCACTGTCATTGTTGCCGGAGACATGAATGCCGTATACCACAAACTGATTGATATCATCACTATCTCCTACCCTTTACCTGTGATATAGTATTCTCTCATGCAACATTTCCTAAAGTTGCAGTGCACGATTGCGAATTCGATAGAATGAAGCACATAAGCGTACACTTGGAGAAGTGTGTACCACATATGCTCTTCTATCTAAAGGATATGTGTCTTTTTGATATGCCAAGCATTTCTGGTCCTTCTAAAGCTCACTATTTTAATAATCAGGGAAAATAACTGCCTTGAAAAACTCATAGTGCACATATGCAGGTTAAACATCTCACCGAAACCACAGTAGCCACAAATTTCAAATTCAACAAGGAATTTACTTTTGGCCCTCGAAATTCTTTGAACGATCGATGGCAAACGTTTTTCTTACAGTAAAACTTATTGGAACTATCCACTAAAATCGTATTCCCTGGAATAATTCATTTCTTTTTGAGAACCTTTAAAAATGGGGATTATTTAGGGCGCACTGATCTAAAATATCAAATTTACAATTTCCCTGCAGCTGTTTGCTCCGAGTCAAATGTCTGTCGTCCAATCATAAAGCAGTCTATAATCTGGTTTGAGAGTGCATCTGCTATGGAGTCACTGCTTTTCTAATATTATTTCTTTGGCAAGTGAAGTTATTTAAGGTCCTTCTTTTATCATTCAAGCGCCACGTTCAGTTGTGCGCAAGAATCCCATTTGTATCTGTTTTTTTCTAGAAAAATCGAGTGAATTTTGCATCCAGGTAGTCTATTATTTATGTAAATTGGAATATCGGTAGAATTCCTTTGTCAAGGGATAGAGCATTCTCCGTACAATCATCAACGATGGCTACATTACACTAGCACGAAACCTATGGCCCGAATAACAGAAACCCCATTGGATGAAAAGTTTCGCCAAATCCCCTTTTTAAGGGGAAGAGCGCTGGTGAATTGCTTTGATTCACATTCATTAATCCGATCACTCCGGCCTCCTACATAATGTCCCTTTTTTCACAGCATGTCGTCAGCTGCGCTGAACCTCAACTCGAAAAATCCAGGAAATACGACTGATATCCAATTAACAGCGAAGAAGGTAGATGCTGCACAGCTATTGTGCTGTAATAAACACGCTAGGGGTTAGTGATTTATAAAGTTAAGGGTAACTAGTTCAAATAATAATACTGCAAACGCGGAAACCCAATACTAAAAGAAATGTAAAAATCAATGAATTGAACATGCCCGACAAAATAGAGTGCTTTTCTCAAACAAATTCATTTTAATGGCCTCAACCAAAATGAAAACAATCACCATTAAAAAACGCTGTTAGGTGTCCAATCTGGACATGGGCCTTCTTAATTGTGGTAATAATAGGATGTAAGTGGTGGTACCTCAGAAGTCGATATTGTTCCAACCTGCTTACCCATGCTCCCAGCTTATCATACACTATCTTCCTGCGGTTGGCTTCTTAAAGTTAAAATTGTCTCAACAGGGGAAACAAATTACAAAATAACCCCACTTCCCCTTTATTTAAATAGGCTTAACCAAGTTTTCCAAAGACAAGTATATTTTGAAAAGGGTTAATGAGTGGACCATTTCTGATATTGGTACCGCATACGATGATACTTGTATTCACTGAGTGACAACACAATAGACAACAAAAATTATAATGTTTAAACGATGTTTGATAATCTCATCCTTTCTAGACATCCCGAACCCCAACCAATTCCGAGCTCTTCACACAGCTAACAAAGCGGTCCGTCACATCGTTGAGTTCCGCGATGAGTTTTTCACATTCGTGCTCTTCATCGTCGTCATAAATCTGTTCGGTCACACTGAGTGAGTACTCGTTGAGGATGCGCTTGGCCCATTTGAAGCGGTCGAAACCAGACCAGAGAATAAACCTTGCTAGCATAAAATGGACTAGTTCGTAGTCATGTGACTGTAAGGCGGGATCCTTGCGCACCACCTCGAAGCTGTCCGTCAAAATGGCCACAAACATGCTCAACATGATGAAAATAATGAACAGAGAGAAGGCGGCAAAAATGACTGGGCCTAAAATGGGTTCCCTCTCATACATCTTCTTAACGTCAAACTTTCCCAGCACGATCTGAAAACTTGTTTCCATTGATGAGATGAAGGTGCAGTAAGCATCCATCGTGTCGTAAAAGAGAAGGAAAAAGGCGACTACGAAGGAAAAAAAGATGATGGCGAAAACAGCAAAAAAGTACTTCATGTCACGATACGCGTAGCTGAGAACAGCCCCCAGGAGACCGATGTTTTTGTTGAAGCGGAAGATGTGCATAAACATGAGGATGGCGACAAAGGTGATGAGGGCGACGAGGTACGCGAGGACTTCGTTCCAATTGGCCACCATTTGAAAGTTCGCGTAGCCGTTTCCATTGGTGCGGTAGAATTCTAAGGTCATTTTTTTAACTTCGATTGTCACAAATACATAGATACAAATGGCTCCAAAGGAACCGAAGAGGATGAACATCTGGGCCCAAGAGCGGAAAGTGCGGAAGTACGCGAGGCGTTCACCCCAGAGATTGCGCCCCTCCTTTATTAGGAGACCAGCCAACGCAATCACGAACAAAATCTTTTGAAGAAAAAAACAGCACATGAGACTTCCGTGTTCAAGACTCTGTGAGGGACAGTCACAAAGTAATAGTTGTGTGCTGACAAAAACCGAAATCAGGCAACTAAACGTAATTACCAAATAAAGGGGCAAATGTTATTCACAACTTCTTGCAATTTTACAAAATATTTTGTATCCATTTTGCTTGTACTTAGTAAGGCGTTATGTGTGATTGAAATAAGTTATCTTTTATCGGCAAGTCTAATATTTCTTCATTCTTCACTCCTATAAAGTAGGATTATGTTGGCAAAATACGTGCTTTCAATACCACCAACTTTTGATTTCAGCGCGGATGGTGAAGTCTGCGCGAAGGTCAAGACCTAGCAGCACATTAAACACCATGGCAAAATGTAATTGATCACCAATTCCTATAACTTGCACAACTTTTCGTTTGATTGCATTTCGGCACAAGGAATGCGAAATTAGTGGCGATCTCCAGTCCCGAGAGATGCCCTAACCAAAAGTGTCTTCCTCAACACTACTCAAGTAGAGTCTGAATAATTAGAAACACTCTAAAAGTATTTTTAGAACTGCCTGTTTAGTTTGATCAGAAAAACCAACAATGATACAAAATATGAATTTATCTAAGATACGCACAACCTAACTTTTTCACATAGTGCTTGATTTTGGGTGTTGTTATAGGTGCAATTGAATTGGGCTACCTCGTATCCCATCACACTTCCACGGAGGACCTGGATTTAACTCGGATGGTATCGCGTCAATTTGAGCAAAATATACGCTTCTTTGCATTGCATCCCCAGGTAGTGCAATGCCGCATGACCCAACACACCAAACTCTAATGAACAACTAACCACAGGAATAGTAACCTAATGGTTATGGTTTATAGGAAGAAACAACCATTTTCTTACCCATTGTTAACAAATTAAGTTCTTGAAGAATGGTTCAATGTACGGGAGTACCCCGAGGGATAAAATAGTCAATCAGCAGGAATCTTTTATTCCATACAGCCGATAAGTTTCTGAAGCATACTTGTGTTGATTATTTTGACAGTACATTGCTTTAGACGTCAAAATGTGACCTCGTAGTACTTTTGAGGTCCCCTAAACTGTTCTTGGACACAATTCAATTGAACATTTCAAAGTAATTACTCAATTTTCAGTTATAAAGAATCCTATAAATGGGACCCGGTTTGAAAATGTTTCCTAGTACATTTAAACTATCAACTTAAGATCTCCCATTCAGGTCTCACAGCAGGCTTTCGAAAGTTATTAAGCTAAGTTACATCGTTCTAAATTTTCAATCCGAATAAAAAAAATAACATGACATTTTTGCGCGTTAATCATTTGGAAAGGAAATGGGAGTTGCTGATTCAAAACCAGGAAATCCTACATAAGCGATATTAACAACTAAAAGCTTTTACTGTTGAAGACTAATATTTTACCTGACAGGTTAGTTCGAACGCCTTGACACCGCTTATTGTGAATGAGAGCAAGTTTGCTGGTTCAATTCTGTAAGAAGGCAGTACACTACCAGTTCCGGGCAGTTCAAATTTGATGACCGTCATTCCAAAGAGGTGGGTTCCCGGATTGAAAGTCGTGAACTCAACGATGACTGCGCGTGTTCGGTGGTCAATCCACCCCTGTTGTCTCAACTTCTGGACATCTTCAAGGAGACGTTCTGAGGAGCCACGCAATTCATGGACGTAGCCACCGCCTGAATAGAGTGCCAGTTGTCCAGAAAGAAAAGATCCACCTCGTTCCGAGGCTCGGGTGTAGCGATACTCCATGGGTAAGGTGTCTCGTGACTGCTGAGACGGAATCCACCCTGGTAAATAATCATTTTCGTCCTGGGTCCAGATACTGTAAGCACCGTAGCATTTGGAGAAAATGTTTCCCATCTCTTGTTGAACGGCACAGGAATCTTTTGGAAATGAAAATATAAATTACCTGTAAGTGCCGTTTGCTTAAGTCACATCTACTTGAACAGGGGTTGCACAGTAGATGGACCAAAATTAACTTTAAGTAACTTAATATTTGCTAAAAGGCTAAGTCAAATCGTTATTTAGGCGATATTAAAGTCCCGAATAAGAGCTGTGATTTTCTATGATTTTCGATACCTTTTAGAACATTTAATGTCAACTTAAAAGCCCCGAGTGAGCTATGCTTGAAATATTGAATTTACGTTTAGTAAACAGAAGTTGTTTATCCCTTACAACGTTGTTACACTTTATTCTACAGTAATAACACTGGTAGGCTAAGGCTGAAACTTTGCTTTTATTTTTCCAAAGCTTACTCAAAGCCAACTTAAGTACACAACGTAGTTTTCTTAACCCGTTAATCAACTAGTATGAATGCACTTGTATTCAACTAGTTAGTTCCTAACTGACAATGCCAAAGAGTTTAATAATATCGGTATTTTGGGTTCATTGACAGTTGCATGTTGATCTCGCCCCTCCCCTAAGTGATAGTGCATGTTTTTTCGCCCGATGACCCGTGCTCGATGTCACATTCTAAAATAAACTATATGAAGCGATCAAAAGCGGCACAACTCGCCTTGACGAATGCGAACTTGACGCATCGTTGCGTAGCCCATGATTCGGTTTTTACGGTCACCAATAAAGCCACGTTGGTCCAGAGGGGGGTGTCCATTGTACCACCTCGATGCTCTCAAATTCGGCAGCAGTGTCTTCTCAATCCAGTCCCAGAGATCGTCAATGGAATTTATCTACAGAAATGGCTGGGTTTAAGTTTTTTTTTGTGACAAATAGTTTGCCAGAACTCGTATACCCATTAATGTCCTACTGATGATTTTGTAGTATCAACAAACGTGGGGCTCAAGTAATGGCGTGAATCGTCGTTAAAAATTTTGCTGCTAAAATTTAAGATAGACCATATTTGTTGCCAAGGAAGTAGATTAGTAGAAAATATGTCAGGGAATGGAGAGCAGACATTAAATACTTTTATTTTTCACCCATTTCTCATCTGGATATACAATGAAATAATGTGTATCTTATTATTTTGATATTTTTTACGAATCAAAGGTATTAGGTAGGAAAAAGGCATGGTATTACTAGATAAAACAAATTTTTTGATTATCCATGGTACACTCTATGGTAACGATTTTCTTAAAATTACAGTGAAAAGTTTCCCTGTGGAAATTTCGTTTAGGGCGACGAATTTTTAAGCGTCACAGTAATGCCAACTTTGAACAAACACTTGTGGTCACAAATTTAGCCCTACTAAAGCCATAACTACTGTGAAAATTTCTTTCAAAAAACATCGGATTAAATCCACACTCTAAACGGGATTTTCAAATTTAATTATAACGCAGTTTTTTTCATTCCTGAACAAGGCAACGGAAAACCGAGGCATCTTGCGGAAGTAGGCCGTCACAACCGTTTCCAATTGGCTCCTCCCATATTATTAGATCAACCCATGTTGCCACAACTTGCAACACGCTTAAATGCTGTGCAGATGCAGGAGGGTCATTGTGGTAAACATTTGATCGTATTGCATGGTATTGCGCCCTGTTTTGACATTGCCTAATCGACTCACTTTCTCGAAGTCGTCGTCACTGAAGAAAAGAGAGGAAAGACTTTCTCGAAGTCGATTTGCCATTGGATCCCGGAAACCATTTGACACAATGATGAGAAGGGAAAAGAAAAGGAAAAAGAAGAGTATCTCCCGCAGCATGCCGTGCATTCGCCTTTGGTTCTGCCTGTGAACTCGCGCCCTCTCCAAAGTCTCGGGGTCAGGTGGACTGACTACGTAGTTATCGCTCTTTCCACGCACTCAAAGAAAAACACAAACAACTACTCATTAGGACTGGCAGCCCCTGCCGACATTAATTACGTACGAGGTTCGTCCGCAGCCATACCACTAGTGCCTCCTGCAATGGTCAGGAGACATGTAGCCTCTTGGTCAACTAAATGCAATTATCGCGCTTTTTAGGGCCTGCACATTTTCTTCACCAAACTACTTCTCAAGGCACAAACCTCTTCAGAACATGGGTTTTCAGATTAGAAAAATTGGAATCGCCTGTTAAGCATCGCTTTTAACTCCGACAAGCGAAACAGTGATTAAAAATAAGTCGTTTGAAGCTCTATCTGTCAACAGGCAACACTTTTGAATGACCTTGTAAATCTACACAAAATTGCTGTCCTTGGATTATTTTAAAAAAATGTAGCTTTTTAGAGGTACGTGTTTGTAAGCAATGCATTCACTGTGTACTATGGAAAAACGCAATTGGTGGATGTGGGCTAATCGTTCACCGACTTACACAAGTCGTCATGAAGATACTCCTCGCCGTAATTCAGCCTGTATCTACGTCCAATTGTGTTCATCAGGGCGGTGTCTTCTTTAGCAAAGTCGAAGTCCTCAGCAGTAGCTTTCGATTTGCAAATCACAGCGAAAAACAAGGCAAATAGAACGACCTAAAATTGCATGGAAAACCTCTGAAAAACCAGTTAAGTTGTCAGTACGCTGTGTACAATACTGTGGTCAAGTGTACGTATTCAGGGGTTAGTTAACATTTTCATAAAAGTGCAAGAAGCACAAAAATCAGAATGAAGACAGACATAGAACCTAATTGGACTATAATGGCCAAGTAGGACAGGTTTTGAGTTGTGCAGTCATAGGTAGGCTGGAATACAAATTTCAGGTAGTGTTTAGAATCAAGATTCCATGTGGTGCCAATGCACCGTTATGTACAATCACGAATAACATTGTCCCCTCACAAATATATTATAAAATATGCCGAAAATAGCACCATTGTGTCACGATTTGACAACTCTGATTTTCGGCTTCAGCCTGCAAAGATAGAATTTAAGTAGTTTGAAGTTAGTGGCGTGTAACTTAAATCTTACAGCTGAATTATTTTAGTCAATTACTCCGCCACACCCTAAAAGTGAAATTTGAGAAACAAAACCCATCCTAATGGTGCCTGCCACCAACTCTCTCGTATTGCATACCTTAGCAGGTTGTGTTAGGAAGAGGTCGAGGAAGAATGACAGAAACAAAGATGAAAGCCACTGTTTACAGGCAGCATCACCGAATGTGACCCCGTAGAATGTAGTAAACACAACAGAAGTCACTATCCCCAAAATGAGTAATATCCACGCCAGAATTCGGGTCTGCCAGGGCAATGTGAAGTCTTTCCATTTGCTCTCATTTTCCTCCTTTACTTCGCATAACCTTTTTCCAGGAGGTTCCGGATTTTCTGAGTATGGAGGGGGTTGATCGACATCCAGTGAGCTGTGATTTCTATTTAAAATTAATAGACTGCGGTCAGTTAAATTGGGGAGCGAAGGATTTAATCCCACTGCCATTTACTACTGGCCCAAAGGAGATCCATTTCAACCATGGCCAATTACTGGCTGGCTGGCTTCACTTGATGATACTTTAATATTATGGATAATTGCGCCAATTTTTTCTTGCAAAAAATACTAAAAAGAACTCCTGAGACAGTAAACACGTTTTGATCTACGCTGCTATTGGAATTACGACCTGTACAGGAGGAGTAATTGCTTAATGGTCTCGTTTTAAATAGACCGGCACCATGTCGCAAATTTGTTAACGTATAGTACAATACTGAAAACAATACCCGCGTGCAATCAGGATTGCGGTTGCCATCCATGAAAATGAAATGAAAGAGCCGGAAAGGGGACTGTTACCGTCCAGCATTTACTACACGTAATTGGCCAAACAGAACGTCCTATTAAGTGCGGCAAACTTACTGGAATACTGAAGAATATCGAGGTGGTTCCAGGTAAGATTGTTGAGGTTCTTCATTTATAGTGTCGTAGGCGTTGTCGTCCAGTTCCTCATCCAGGTGTTCTTCTACCACATCACGAAGGAGGGTCATGTGATTGACGCGAAGCCTGGACTTGCGAAACAGCATCATGACAACGCTGACCGGAACAAACGTGATGAGACACGATACGACTCCGGTGAAGGCCTTAAAAACATGATAATTGCATGTAGGTTGACCAAGAGGCTGGATGTCTCTTGACTATAGGAGGAGGCACTAATGGTAGTGGACATTTACTGCACGCTAGACTCAGTAGAGGGACCTTAATTTCCTTGATCTATTATTGAGGGATGGTAAAATCCGTTTGATAACTATCGGTTACTTTTTGGTGGCGATTATTGAGATCAGCCCCACGATGACACCTACCTTGACTTTAGCTCGCTTTTGGTGTTCTATTATGAAAATATGGTTTTTGACTGGTGCTTTTCAAGACACAGGCCGATTTGACGAAGGCGTATTCACGCAAGATTTAATCAATGTGATATAATGATAAAAGCACTAGTTACTTAAAACGGTTTAGGGGTATTACCAGAAGCAGTAAGTGTAAATAAAAGGAACCAGGAAAGCACAAAAATTTGGTTGTCTAGAAGGGAAAACTTAGTTTGACATGTTGACTGGACGGTTCACTTGACCCACGACAGTGTTGAATAGCTGCCTGTTATATATGTTTTCATTGGCCCTTGTATCAGAAGAGGTGCATGCGTTTTGGTGCAAGTTTACGTCATGACGTCAAAGGCAAATACATACCACGTAAGGTGTAAGTGCAAACGGGCCGATACTGAATTCAAAATCGACCACAGCAGGTCCCTCGGCTTTGTAAAACATACAGGAAGAAACCATGGTGAGGAAAAGAACTAGCAGGCAGCAACCGACACGCTCGACACGCGTGAACCGCGAATAGGCTGGGCGGGTGAAAACTGAAGCCCACAGGTGTTTGTCGCTCGCGTCCTGTGTCACCTTGTGTGAAAAGAGGTAATACGGCCGAAGGCGATCCAACGGTCCGGCTACTGGTATCACTCTATCAACCTAAAATGCAACAGTGCACATACCCAGAGTAAGCTAATTGCAAATTACTTAACCCGGGTACTCCACTTGGCATTAAGTAGATATCAAACTGCGTCTTATCTCTCGAGATGCAATCTGGAGCACTAGACTCTTAGATACACTGCCCAGTGCTGGAAAATTGTCTTGGTGTTTTGAGTGAACTCTTAATGACCCGGTTAAACACCAACCTTCATGGGAGATTCGAGCCGTCACTACCGATTAAGTCAGGCCGTCCGATCACCGATTCGCTGCTGGCTCCATAGCAAAGTGATGTTTGTGGGATCAAAAATGTAAGGACAATAGTCATAAAATGATGCATCCTACCTGACTTCAATGGGTGTCAATCCTCGTTAAAGTGGGTGGCTATTTAGGTTAAAAATTTCCTAAAATAAGAGATATCTTGCGAAAACAGTCTTGGGCTAAGGTTGCAATTAGAGAATTTATGCTTAAGTACGAGGTTCGGAACCAGTTTTCCAGTCAGAAATAGTCAACTGAAATCATCAAGAGTTTATGTTAGGAAAACGGCTTTTTACCAATAATCATTTTCAATGTGTCCACGGTGGTGACAAAATAACCTTTAACGCTAACCCGATCAAAGTGACCGCAATACAATACGTTTATAAAATAGTGGAATTTCTGCTACAAAGGCAATATTTTTTACCTAAATACAGTTTTGAGTTTGAACAAGGCAAAAGAAAGTTACGAGAGACGTTTGTGAACAATAAGAAATCAGTAAGTAAAATATAAATATTCAGGATCTAATATTGTGTGAGCAAAGGCCTTTTGCTATTTGGGCCTACAGCCGCATCTAAGCGAATGGCAAAATAATTTGTTCTAAGGCTAAACCCTGAGTACGTATAACAAAGATCGTGACAATATCAGAGTGGAATGTAAGAATTAAACAATTCCACAGGCAGGAGTGGTGCATTAGGATGGCCAGACTTACCATTCCATCGTCCTCATCCACAGCTAGCCACTTTTCCACCAAGAAGGTGTACTTCGACTTTGTTTGCAAATCGATGGTAATCACAAAGTCACAAAACCAGGAACCTCCGCTTCCCTGGCCGGTGTTATCGTGCCAAATGCGGAGAAATCGGAGATCCCCCAGAGGTCTGAAACATTTTTTTGTTAAAGCAAGTCAGTTTGTGAGGGGCTAATCCAGAATCGAGCGAAGTTTTGACTTTGGTTCCTTGGGACGAATGAACCCATTAACAGTTACGGACTCCTAAGGCACATCCTATAACTGAGTTATGAGGGGCAATCGCTTGTACGAAGCATCAAACTTGATGACATTACAGGTCCGTTAAAAAATAAAAGCTATTTAGGCGAATTTTAAGCTTCTTGCCAAGTCACCAAATATGCATTTGGAATATGATGTCAGTGTCTAAATCTATAAAAATTATCAAGTCATTTAATAGTGAATCGATCACTAAGACAACTGAAGGTCTTTTGAACGCAAGATTTGAAAGTAAATTGGTTTAGCTATCATTGGGTTTACATCAAAAAGAGGGTAACTTTGACGAGCCTCTTAGAGTATTTCTCAACTGCCTAAATAACTTCCCGTCTTTTGACTAACTACTACTGTCCGTGGATCCCACTGATTGATTTAAGTTGACTCGGAGAAAATGTGACCTACGGCTTGTCGCACTAACTATATCATCTTTTAATTTTCATTACTAACAGAATCAAAACTTATTGGTTTCATGGTTAATCGAACTCCATCTTTGCACAACGCTTACTAACTTTTCAGCAGAGCCTTCACTGTGGAAGCTTGTTTGACTAAGTTTAGCCCGGGATGATTACCCTAAAGATAAACTCACTCATCTAGCATGCCGCCTTCAGGCATGAACAATTCATTCCACCTCATTGCATCGTCTTCTTACCCTCGTCTGAATTCGAAGACTAGCAAATCTAATTTTGACAGGCCCGAAACATCCAGAAGTGCCATTAAGTGATCTCTAAGACTGCCAAGTCCACTGTTTCACTCAGTGGGAGGATGCGTTTACCGAATCGGCAAAATACCAACGCAAAACAAGGTTCAGCAGCACCGCAAAAAGTGATGCCTGGATCCCCCAGATTTTAGAAACCACTTATTCAGCAAACAAATTCGATTTTTTCAGAGCAAAATATCGTCAATTTAGTTTAATAGTCCATTTTTTGTGTAACTGGAGTGAGTGAATTTATTACGCGAACTGTACAGTTTTCGTGGTTTTAGCTGTGCTGGTTGTGGCTGTCGCGTTTGATCTGGTTGTCCAAGTGGTCATTGTTTCAGTAGGCGCTTCGGACGTTGCTTTAGTACTTTCACTCACTGATTCCACGCTTCCTGAAGAGGCCTCCGTTCGATTCTCTGGGGTCACTGACGATGAAAGTGAGGATGAACTGAAGCTATGCGAACAGGTTTTGATATTCTGTCGGGATTCCAAATAAGGTCTTCCCCTTGCTTCTTCTTTTTTGACTTCTCGTATCGGGATTGGCTCCTGTATTTTGTGCTTACATTGACTTAATGAGGGCACATCACCAATAGTTGTGGTCTGGGGCGTTAACCGCGCCAATTTGGCCTTGATCCTTAATTTCTCAAGTCGTTCCTCATATAAGCTTACGAGGGCAGTCTGTTCTGCGACAGAATTGAGCAATATTTCTATCTTAGTTTTCAGAATACGCTGCTCATGTCTGAGACGAGAATTCACCTTGCGAAGAGTTGGAATGTCGTTCGAATTCAGCTGAAGAATGTCGTCACCTTGGACGTCAGAGTCTAGCACGACTAGACGCCATCCGATATCACTGCCCTCCCATTCGATTTGGAAATCCCCTAGTCGACAGGAGGGTTTCGGCAAAGCCATAGTTTTTGAAAAAGATGGTCGCTTGCGGCACGCTGTGTCAAAATCAGCGGGCAATGTTTCTGTGTTTGTGATTGAGTGCGATAAATCACTAGTCGGGTCAGTTGGAGTAGACGTGGTGAGCATTGTGTCACTACTCAAATCGCGGAGTTGTTGCAGTTTATTAAGCCTTTGATGAGTTGCGTGTAGAATACTGGTTGCCTTATTGAGTGTTGAATTGGCTGCTCTAACGACAAATTTGGGTGGTCTAAGAATCTCAACATGCTTATGGGGAATAAAATTCATTTTCTCTAGACTAAGACAGGCCGATTTACCGATTAAAATGAGATGTCTTTAAAAGCTTCCAATCAATACAATGAATTGATTTGCTAGTTTATGCCTTTAAAATGAGTCTATAATATTCTGATTTTCACCATTGTAATTGGTGAGATCGTAGGTTTACAAAAACAAAGGATTGCCTGAGTCTGCAAATTAAATTTGTTAAATTTTACAAAATGAATACCGCGTTTTCTTCGATAACATTCAAACAGTCATTTTCTAAAAATAGTTTTTTTTGTTTAACCAAAAGACATGCTTTGCCATTCACACTAATTTACGTTCGTTTATTTTATGCAACAAACATTTTCGAAATCGGCCTAAGACACCTTTTAAATGTGGCGGAGTTGTGAGAATCTACCTTTGACATTTAGTATTGCATATTGAATTTTTAGAAAAAAATCTCAAGATCAGCTAATTTTGAAGTTGGGCACATCCAAAACTAACTTCGCTGTAGCAAGGAGAAAACGGTCGGTATTGCCCCTTTGAAGAACCTTCCGATGAGGATCACGAAGGGTAAACGGTGGGGTTCCTCCTTTTTCCCCGTTTAGCTGCATGCATACTGTGGATGTGGTTCCTGCCCTTCGCCTCATTCCCGTTCCGACGATTATTTCATACAGATATTCGTCCGCTGGGTTGTTTTCCGCCAGAGGTGTGATACCCAACTGAAAAAGGACAGTTTTGGGGCGGAACCCACTAGCCACGCAAGAAAGTTGATTTATTCAACAAGGACGTATAGTGAACCGTGTTGATTCAAGTCCAATAAATCAGTCGTTGCATCCCCACACACCAGTCCCTCTCTTCACAACATAACCGTCAATCACGCGGGCCCATCCCCTCATTCACCCCTCTGCACGCACCGCCACAACCCACTTTATCCATGTGACCATTTAGACGTCTGCACTTTTACCAGTCAACTCAACTATCAGTCAACAAAAACACATGATTCATGCGCTACCTTTAATGCATGAAAACGACAGCACAGGCTCATTGAGCTGTTTAGTAGGCGGTTGTGCCTTGTCCTCTAACATCTTTATCATATTTGCAGATAACAGGGTACAATAATCGGGCTAGAATCAACGCAGTGGCCCCGGCGTGGTTTAAGCCAAAATACTGGGGCCCTCAATAGACGAAGCAACCAGACCGGACGCCCAACGGTAAATAGAAACAACGTTCTTTTCTTTGAGGCGGGACAATAAACGATTTACTTGGTCGAAGACTACTACTGGAAGTTTAGGAAGTTCCAGACAGGCATTCACATTGGTGAATGCAAGCATTCAACATGAAAGACATAAACTGACCTTCTGAATGTCTTTATTATCCATCCGCCGAGCCCAAATAAAGAGCAGCAGAAAGATTATCCCGACAGTGATTTCTGTTACGTAGAGGGTGGCGTTCTTTTCAAACTGGATATTCCTGAAAATGTAGTTAAAATCGACCGTGTTTGGCACAACAATCCATCCGGCTGCAAATGTGGTCAGATGGTTGCAGACACAGACTGCCGCTTGAGCTGTCGTCTGGCGATCAACCTATCATAAAGCAGTGATCTACCGTAAGAGGTGGAAATGCGTTCATGGACCATATTTACTCCAATAACTGACATCGTCGGGCTGCCCGTGTTGAGAAGTCGGGTGCATTAAGAGAGAATACCTGTGTTAAAGACAACTCTAAACAAAGTTCACCCTAAGTATTAGGCGAAAAAATACTTCAACGAAGTTACCCGCTCAGTTCACACTACAAATGTGGAGAGCCAGTTCAGGTGGGCAAACTATATCATGGACTACACTAAAACACGAGTCTAGACTTAGCAATGCAGTTAGGGTGGCCTCCAGAGGAGGCTGTGCAATATTCGGAGGCATTTTCATTCAATATGGATCTCGGGACAGTTTATCGCCATGAACAGACCAGTTTGTTATTACAAAACACTAACATTAGAGCGGTAATTAACTAGCCCCAGAGTGATTCTGTTAGCAGTTTCAAGTGGATCATGTTTGAGAACGCGTGCAAAGGTTGCCATGTAAGATCTCGGGGATTCTACACTTAAATGAAATTGTCGCTCATCGCACACATGGCACAATGAACTAGCTGAAGATTTACGATTCTATGAACTCCTGTTCACACCGAGCTATGAATCTATCAGGCATTGTATTGTGGAAAGTAGTCACACCAAAGGGAAAAATAGTTTGTTGGGAGATCCACCATATAAACCATTCGACTTTCTTTAACAAGCAAAGACTCACCAAACATCCTTTCGTGTCCCACTTTGCTGAGTCCTTTTCCAGGAATTCGCAAGTGGTCACAAAACCACGATAATTAATTGTCGTGTTGATTTGATCTCTGTTCGCATAAGGAAGTGGAATCTCAGTCCAGTCCTGATCAACTTCCTGTTTGTTCAGCTGCCGAAATCCAACCCACAACTTGTTAAGGTCTCTTTGAGTCAGTCTTTGTCCTTTCGTCCTCTGTAAGGCCTCTTTTTTGAACAGTTTGAAGTCATGGTTATCAATGAAAAATGTCAGATTCCGTTCCCTTTCTTCCAAAGTAGCTGAGAGATCATCTTTCAAAGTAAGATACAGTGTTCGGTTAGACGAGTGCATTTTGCAGAAGGTAATTATAAGCATTTTAAGGATTGCTTTTCTGTGGGAGAGTCAGTCACAACTTACCATAAATATCTGCAGAAGGCGGCACAAAAGCCCACATGAGTCCCCAATCGTCCTCCAGTTTAGTTAAATCCGGTGGATAAACAAATCTGGGAAACAAACAGTGAGAAATGTGTTAACTTGATGAACTGTTCTGTCAATATACTGTCTAGTGCATGCTAAATAAGCAAAACAAAATAAAGCGTTTGAGTAAAATGAAGATTAAGAACGCTTTACCACCCATGCTATTTTCACTCACCTCGCGACAACAAGATACTGAGGCTTCGTGGAGGCATTCGTGGGCTGAATTTCAAAACTGAAACTCACATCCTCCTGTTCTATGTCGAAGCCAGTCATTATTAATGGTTGGTAGATTTCTGACCCGTCAACAGCCACAAGGGGCTCAGGGAGTTTTTGGGGCATACCAATGTCGCTGACCATTGTGAAAGGGGGAGGGAGTGTTGTTGGATCCTTAGGAAATAGTTGAAAAGCGGTAGTACAATATTGCAGCAAACAACCACAGTTTTAAAGAAAAGTTTGAAGTATTCGCCAATTATAGACAACCATAGCTTGATCCGATAACTCTAGGTCTAATTCTCATCTCTGTATCAAGCATCCATTTAGTCGTCGGAAAAGACAACCCTGAATAATTTTGCGGAACTTTCCATGGTGATGGCTACAGCATAGTTGATTTGCCATGAAGTAAACAACATTAATAAATACTTACTCTGATAATTTTCACAGTAACCACACCGGGTATTTCATTGACACGAACCTCTTTGCCATCTTTGTAAAAAGAAAGTCCCACAGTCTCTGACTGAACTGGAATAGATTTAGGATTGGCATCGGCAAATGCAAACATTTTCGGCAGGGTAATCATTGTCTATGGGAGAAAAATATGCCAGACGTTACAATCAAACTGGGGATTCACGCAGCCAACCCATGTAAGTCTGATCACAGGACGTGACAGACCAAATTTAAACCAAAATGAAATACTTTAGGTTTTATTTCTTATAAAGTTTTCTTAAGATTAAATTAAACTTCAGCTCACCTTCATGCTTTCTGGAATTGTGGGATCTTGATTTATGTTGCCTACCGCGTGAGATTTGTGGGGTGATTTATCTTAGAATGGTTTATTTTTGCTTCACGGGATTATCCTCATTCTATAATTGATAAATTAGCAAATTAGCTCCACTTAGCACTCGAACTGTTTTATTACCCAACATTTTTTTGGTAGAAACCGATACAAGTATCTTTGAATTAATCTCAGTTCCAGGCACCTCATTGTAATAATTGCTCTTGCCGGGTTTATTCGCCAGTAGCAGCAGACGCAAAAGGTGTCTGGACATTAATTTGAGAGAGCTTGGTTTGACTTGCCGCCTAAACTATAGAGAACGGATTGTTAAAATGATTCCCCGACAAATAAGGTGATAAAAACGACGACAATATGTCTTTGAGGCACACGTCCCACTCATGAATTTAGCCAAAATCATACATCTCAACCATCAGGTAGAAAATCCAGCAAAACAATGGATTATATTAATTTGCAGGCATAAACAGTTATCTGGAATACCTTCGAGTTAAATTTCTAAAAAATGGAGCAGCCTAGGGATCGAAAATTTGACTACTAACAAAACGTGCCCACTGAGGCCAGAATGATTTAAATTGTAAGTTTTGCCAACTTATTTTGGGACTAAAGGGCATGGACAGCGATGCTAGCCTACGTAAAAGATCATTTTTGGCTGACAATTACCTTCAGTCTCTCAAGAAAGTAGCTGAAAGTGATAGGACTAAGCATGTTTGTACATGGCTTTAAAACAGGAGGCTAGACCAAGGAACAAAGCCTATTTAATCAAAAGCAACATATTTTGTCAAATTGTGATGAAGATACTGAAATGTTTACAATATTGATAGCAGCAGTTGAGATTCTCAAACATAATGAGATACAGACTTTGCCGTTGACGAAACCTGGGCTTAGGAATGTGAAAGTTTCAAAAAAAACTTATTTTCCTGTGCCTGAACTCACGTGGGCAAACACATCTTGTGTATCGTTAAAGAAGGCATCAAGACCATTAAATGTGAGGGAGGAGATAGAACTGGAACTGTAGAAAGTGGACAACCAATTCTGGACGTCTGACTTCCGCATTTTCCGCATGTGGATTTTCCCAAAGGGTGTGACTGACGAAATGCCCACTTCATCGGCTGTGAGGATTGGTGAGACAGCAGCCGCCACATTGCCTTGCAGTTGACTTAATTGTACAAAGAGAGCCGCAGACTAAAATAATGCAACAACCAAGAGTTCTTTGAACATTTGAGAAAACTTCACTGCTCCTAAAAGGCTAGCAAAGAAATCCGCTAATTCTCCAAAAACCACTAATTGTGCCAATATGTTCCCGTCTTTCAGCTAACTTAGCAAGTACCTTACAAAATTCTTTGCGAGCGAATACACGTGACCTCTATTAATCAGGCAAGAGCTATGCGTTTGAATGTTCCTGTGTTTATACCGTAAACGGCTTCAAGTACAAACTTTAAACCAACCCAAAGCAGCTTCATGTAAATTGTGTTCATTTGTTTATAAAACTGCAGAAATAAACGTAAGCTAACCGCAGCTTCCTGGTGCTTTCTGGTTTCTTCCTTAGACAGCAAAAGGTATTGATCATCTGCGGTGGTTCCCACAACACCTATAAAAGGTAACAATGCACACTTTAATGTCACTTTCCAAAGTGGGTTAATTAAGTATCAGGCCTTGTGGTTGTGATGTAAGAAATTTCAGCCGGGTGGAAAATGTCCGTTTTTAAAACAGCGTTCATGATAATTATACCTGGTGTTAATCCGTTTAAAAACGCACGACGTTGTTTAATTGTAGACACAGCTGGGAGCTTTGTAATATTACTGCAATAGTTCAAGTTCACAAATTTTAAAGAATCTGTAAGAAACTAAACTAATAAATCCAAAGCAGCTAGTCAATGAATCTGCATGTTATGCGGACCATCGCATCTTTTAATTTAAAAGGCATACCCATAGCTTCAAGATCGGTGTCGTAGTTCATATCCAAAGAATTCGTCACTACGTCGGTGGCAATTGGGGAGTCCAGTTGAGAAGTTGTACCCTTAGAACAAATGATGGGAATCTGATTTGTAGAAACCCTTGTAGTAAATTAGATCGATTTACTTCAGCGATATTGTTTCGTGCTAAGGGAATCAGCATGCCAATAGGATTTACTAAGCTGAACCTCCTTGTGCAGTCTATTTGCAGTTTCAAAAGTAGAAGAAACAGAGAAGTCGAATATTTGAGTATCGCCCGTACCATGCTAACACGAACTTCACGAGAGGATAACTTTCAACAAAATTGTCTATAATACTGATTCAATTTTACCAGAAAATGACTTGATTCTTTAGATGTAATTTAAACCACAAATGTTTATCCATCTGTCACGGATCCGAGGTCGCTTAAGAGATCTGAGGAACCTTAAGACACTTCCAAGTAGACACAAGTAGCACGAATTTTCCTCTAAACATCAGTCGCATTTTAAACATAATTTGTAATTGCCAAAAACTTAGTCTTACGTTTAAAATATTTAAGACCATTGAAAGGACACTATTTCCGGAGTGAATGGAATCTTCTCTTGAAGCAAATCGTGAAATTTCGTCGAAAACTTGGGATGCATTTTGAAGGATCTTGGTTAACTTTATCTGCGCGGATTGAGGCATGTCCACAGCGGTCTGGGAGAGTGAATTAAGGGTCGAAATGCTCAACTTGAAGGTGTTTGGGTCATTCATCGGCAGGTTCTCAGTGGCGTCTACCAACTTTTCGACGACCTGAAAATCGGTAATGCAATTATAATAAGACAAAATGTAATCTTGATTCATACTATTCCTTTTAATGAAGCTGGTGGATTTTCGAATAGTCATCAAATCCTTAAATGAACACATTTATGGCTTAACTGACCACTTGCCCATATTCAAATAAAACATACTTTCTGTATTTGGCTACAAAGAACCAGTTTTACTCCTAAGTCAGGTAAACATTAAATTTGTGGCTCCTTTTGCATGCCTTGAAATGCTTGGGCTAGTCCAAGTGACCTTGTTTGTCTGAACAGAATTCTGACATTGAGCAATTAGAAAGCTGCAGAAAATGGTAAATTTCGACCAAAGTGACCCGGGCAATGAAATGTGATCCTTACACAAGCTCATTTCTGAAGGCTAGAATCAAATCTTAGGGCAGGTATTAAAGTCATTTTGCTCATGAAGTAATATGTAGCATTCATTTAATTGCTCACCTGGCAGCTGCGTTCCTAAGAGATTTGAGGTTAACTACGTATAAGAAATTAAACACACTATCGATTTTGCACAGACCATCATTAATAGTCTACTGAAACAATCGGTAATTACTTCGTGAACATTTAGCCGAATTTTTCAAGCTCGCAAGTTAAAAGGAGGCGTTAAAAATCTCAAAAAAGGAGCCAATATTTGAGGTCTCCTTAACTAGTCGTTGATTGTTTTCGCCTGACACCATCCCTAACTTAGACAGCCTACAAATGCACACTGTGTAAAGCGGTGTTTGGCGCCCTGCACTGTGATTCGCAAATTATTTACTACAGTATTCTGGTTAATATGGCGCCTTGTTCAGTGGTTCCTCACCGGCAATAGCAGGAAGTGCCCAAAACAGGCTAACAAGTCACCAAAACATGAGCACAGCCTTCGCATGGCCAACGGAATTAAGCGCGAGTTCTGCTTAAGTACAAATAAAAGAGGAGGTTGTACTGACATCAAATTGGTAAAGAAAAGTTATAATTTCCTTTTCAGGTAACTTACAGCAGCTCTAAGTTTCCTCGCTTCGATTACACTTGTGGAATTGTCCTACAGAAGAAACATGAAAAACTGACGAAAACAACAGGAAAATATTTGGGAAATACAAAAGGTAATTAAAACTCACTACTTCTCCTGGATTGTGGGAACCAACGGCGGAATAACCGAAAAAAGTCAAAACAATATTTATTTAAGTAACGAGATGAAATTATTAATGTTTATTTGGTATAACTTGGATTTAAATCAAGTAAGCGGAGACGTTTACAGGTTGCGTTGTGTGTATTCATTAGATTTCTTGAGAGGAAATCCAATATATAAACATGATTTTATTGGACGACTTCGTGCCAAAACGATAGGTCAGAAATTGGATTTTACAACGCTTAAGAGTTGTGAAATCTAATTGTGTAGTGGACATTATATGCGACCGAGGCTTTTCTTGTGAGTAGTTGGGAAGCACGACATTGGTTATTTATTAATGTCTAGCCAAGTGTGTGAGTTTGCCTGTGTACATTGAATTTAAATAGATTTTTGATAGAAGTTTAAGAAACGTTTAAGGGTTTGAACGAAGTTTGAACTAGAGGCAGCTTATTGACTTCTAATTCTAATGGGATTCAGCATTCAGCACTATTAGAAGACCTAATGGTCTTAGACTTCTTATTCACAACAGAACTGTGATAATAAAGGATGGTGAAGTCGAACAAATTTAAAGACTGTCAGCACGATCATCACCACCCCTTTATCAAGGAATGCCTGTCAGTTATGCTGCGCCGTCTACTCATGCACCCCTTTGAACAATCAGTTCATTCAACCTGTATTAGTCAACAACCCAGTTGGTTCGACCAACCTGAGTGACAGTCACAAATAGGTTGAGCCACATAACGAAGGATTCTGTCTCCACCACCTTCCTGGGTATCAGTGTAGCGTAACAGCCTTATTCAAAGTAGCATGAGGCTGTTACGCGTTCAACAAACATGTAGTGCACACCTCCGATTTCCAATGCCACCTCACCAAAGACCGTCATTAGCACATGCTGAATCCACTGATTGCCAATTCCCTTGACATTAGTTAGGAAATTTATTGGCGAGATTGAGATTCTGTTATCTGAGATCATTTGCAGTGGTGATGTAAAATAATGTTACATCAGTTAGCCATTTAATCTAAACTGATCGTTAAAGAGGTTTTACCTTCATGAGCCGAAAGTTCTCCTTCATGCACCAACCTCGAAATGCTTTGAATATTCACTGAAAGGTCGTTGGGATTTCCGGTTGCCAAGGCGTGGGAGCCCGCTCCATCAGTATCATTTGCAATTTTTTGTAGCGTCATAAAAATGTCCTCGGACGATTCAACTTTGAACTAGAATAATTGAAATTCGCTTAATAAATGCTGCAATTGGCATTTTCATGGATTTGTACGGCATATTAAAATTTTCGAGAAGGTGTTACTCCGTTTTGAATTTTACACAAGCTTACCACTAAATAACAGCACGGGAATATCCAAACCAGTTATACATGCCAATAAAATCAGAAGATTACCTAAATGTATCGCATGGAGCATATCACGTACACAAATACTAAAGCCAATCTGAAAAATGTGGATTTGACTCCCCTTAACTTGTGAGTGTGGACTTACATGAAATCGGACGTAGCAGCGCTCGTCAATTGAGCCCAGGGTGTCGGTCACAGCAACGCATAATTCGAACTCATCTCTTACGTAGGGAAGTTTTCCACAGTAAGATGGTTCATTTGACGTCGCGAAAGTGGATACGATATCCTTTATTTTTTCTGCAAAATGTTACATTGCTTCATGTTAATAAAAGAGTACTCAGAACTAGAAACTGATAACATCTTTGTTTTGTACTTGTTTTCTTCAATGGATCTAACAAGGTTGCATTTTATCAAACTTAAACATGGTGCTCATGACCTAAATTTGATGCAGCATTTAACTGTACTTATTTCTAGATATTTATATTCAAGCACTCTTAATCCTAATTTTGGAAATGCACATTCATAAAAACGTTGCCTTTTCTTAGTGGCATCACGACAAAGGGCAGCTCAACTCTTGGAATGACAGAAACTACAATTCCGAAATGTACAAATCACAACTCCTGGCACTCGCTTAGGAACACAGTCAAAAGGCAAACAGTTACCTTGAAATAGATAGACAGCAGGTCGTCTATCTTGCTCCTTTCCGTCACAATTGATACAGATAATGGTGTCCCTAGTAATCTCTCCCGACGAGTTAAATTTGCAAGAACCAATTTGGGGTGATTGAACAAGGAAGAACAGTCTGCAAGTTTTGGCGACCACAGCCGATGGTGTCGTATGGGAGAAACAAACATGAAGATAATTTTCAGTGTCCCATTTTTCGAGGAAGGCAGTTCGAACTACGAGCGTGCTGACGTCGTATGCTGCCAGAAAATGATCTTGCTGAACAAAAGCGACATTTTGGATAAAAAGAGCTGTGGGCAGAAACACATTACCTGTGGAGGCTTCGGCTAGTTCAGTAGGCGAAAGTGGACTGATGTTCTCATGCGAGTCCATTTTCTCTAAGGTCCACCGGGAGTTTCCTCCGCAGTCGCCTGTGCATTCGCCCTCTAAGACAAGATCTATGGTTTGACTTACGCTGGTTGCATCATCGTAATGACCCTCCAAAGCGAGCTGTGGACGAGCCATACTAAAAAATGGTTAATAACATGTGGATATCGTCTTCTCGACATAGTACTTACAACTGACAGCAGCAACGTGTATGAGGCTCAGATTTAGCAGGGTGATATAATTTAAAATGACCTTGGTTCAGGGACCTTAAATGAATGACCAACGCTGCAGCAACTCATTGCCACTAGACTTTCTTCATCGCATCGGCACACAGACGAGGGTAAGCACACACTGGTATTCTGGTATTTCATTTAAGAGTTACATTACTGGGGCCTACACAGAGTGTACACGAAGGTAAAGCCGGTAATCGAATTCAATCAAAAAGTGAAATATTGGACCCCTAACCCATCTCGCATGCTGTAATGGTTATTTTTGCTAACTAAACAATGAGATATATGGATTGAACAAATAAGCATTAACCACCTAACGTTTTTTGTTGCAGACTATTAGCACTTTAAAACAGAGCTTGGTTCCATGGATATAGTTTTATAAAACCAAATTAACGTAAGTAGTGAAAACCCGGTGGCTCTGGCTTACTGCCGAGGTAATCAGTTTAATCACATAACCGACACGCATGATGCATGATTTCGACCTTGCTAACAATTTGGGATTGAATCGCTTCTGATAGCCTTTTATTCACTTTGCCCGCCTGTTTGCATCTAATATTGACAATCACCGAGCTTAGGTGGTCACTGGTGAACCTTCAAATGTCCCTCATATGATTCTTTGAGAATTCTCAAATACGGTCATATTTGTTATTAGCCATCTGTCGAATTAAACCTATGGAGTGTGATGCTATACAAATTTATTGCGGAATATATTTACCTGTCACAATTTTTTTGATTTTCTACGAGTCAACTACTACAAATGAAAATACTTCCGTGCTTTCCAGTCAGCAAAAGGCAGCACTAACTAAATTTTACTTTTACGATGTGAACCAAAATCTTAGTGTACCAAATTTTTAATTTCGTAAAGTACGAAATTTTTAGTTTGGGGCTTCCATTATAATGGGGCTTCCGGATGCTGTCCAACCGACGATTTACGCACATCGTCTCGCATCCAACGCCATTCCTTCCGAGTGTGGCATCTTGTAAATTAGCCAGCCTGACGTGCAATGCCAACGGCGTCGACGTCATACCCGAAAAAAATGAATTAAGAATAAACACTTCATTTCGTTCCCAAATACGCGGCTTTTTTATAAAACCGACAACGGAACATTCCTTATCGTAATTTGTATGGGTTCGCGAATAAATGAGAGTTAGTGAAAATTTGATACGGTTTTGTGGCGCAAAGCATGCAATGCTGGCCCTGCAGCCTATAAAATACGTTGAGAATTGTAATTAATGCATTTCGCTTACCGTATTTTTAGTATGGGTGTTTTTCCGGGAACAAAATAGACCTTCAATTTTCCCACACCCCTCTGCAGCCCACTTTCAGCCATGGCCTGAAATTCGTAAATGTTCGAGAAATTGAGGAAGCTTCTGTCTATACAGAAGTCGCCATTCTCCATTCCAGGAAGCTGAGGTAACTTGCATGATGCTTTAGCGCTTTCTGAGGGGCCCAAGTATTGCAAACAGACGATTTGCCAATTTTTGAAGTCCTTTATATAAAACAAAAAGCAAAACAGGTCATCTACAGAAATAATAATCATGTTTTGGAGCTAATTGTGATAGAAATGCAGTAGTAAATATAAACACGATTGATCTTAACGTCGCATTATATTTTGGAAAAAAAGTTCAATAATGAGGCTTAGCAAAGTGCAACGCACCGAGGTTGCGTGTCTTAATTATGCCCCCATTTAGCGTTACCAGATTTCGCTCTTCAAAAATAAGTGCACGGCGTCGAACACGTCGAGAAATTTCTAAATTTTTGAAAAATTCAACCGTCTAATATTCGCTTATAAGTTTTAAGATTAAATTTCCGGAAAGCAAGCACACAGCCGAATTGATGAAATATCGTCTCGGATAAAGTGAACAGATGCGGATCAAATTGATTGCTTATCTATATCGGGCATGTCAACTCATGACAATGAAGTGATAAATTATTGTAAGTTAAAAGAAAATGACTGCATGAAATTTAAGCCACAACAATCAGGTCCCCACCATTTACTTTGCTAAAAGTCTAGATTTGTACAGTCTACATTGAAACAATGGTTTGAATTATACCATTGAAGGCAAACAAGCATTAATAATGAAGTACCTTTTTTCCTTCGGCATTGGGGATGTTGGGGTTGACTGAGTATTTTGCGGGTGAGAGACACAGGGCGCTTATTTCTTCACTGACTGTAATGATATCCGACCCATATTCTGTGAACCTGATGGCAAGTGGCATCTCCGAAACCGACACAAAGGCACTAACGGCAGAAAATAGCTCCTCGCCTTCACGCCATCCCATAAGCTGGACTTCAAACATACCCACCCTGAGGACGTCAGCTGTGATATAGACTTGCAGATTTCCTCGTGAAGGCACTTGAGGCAACTCAACTTTCTCCTCCGTTCTTCCCGCGGTCATCTCGTTTAGCTTCCACATCTCCCATTTGTAGACCACATCTTTGAACTCCTCACATCTCGTTCCGTTGCTTCGTGCAATGATGGTGAGCGTTTCGAGAACTTTGATTTTTGCAGGAGTGTTCGGATTCCCCAAACTGAAACTGTCCAACCACACTAAGGGAGGATAGCAGTCCGTGGGTGTGACAAATATTTTTAATTTGGTGACAGTGTCATTCACTGAGGCAGTGATGGTGTACCCTCCTACAGTTAGGTAGGTCACAGGGATTCTGAACTTTCTGGCTGCCGGTTTCCGTGGCATTGTGGGGTAATTAGGACAGTGGATACACGATGTTCCCCCAACACTGGAATAGGCCACCTGTTCACCGTTTCCTAGATCAACACATATGCATGCGGAGTTTGCGAGTCCGATAAACGCAAGTTGAACTTGTCCCGGCATCCCGGGATGAATGCTAGAGGTCAGGGGAGACAATCGCATGCCACGGACGGTTCCCTGCACTATGATTGTCTTCGTAACGATGTAATAATTCAACGGGTTGCTTAGATTTGCTGTAACAGTATAGACTCCAGGCTAAAAATAATAAACGAGAAACTAATATTATATCCATGATAAAATGAAGCTTGCATCTTTAAACACGCTTTGGAAATCTGAAACTTATAGCCCACTTAAAGAGCCCTTGTCCCACTAGAGCAAGCCATTGAGACTTCCAGATGTTAGAAACAGCGAATATCATTCTGAGAAATCCTCGTATCGGTGGTATTTTGAACAAAATGCTAACCTGACGTTTTGTTATGGTTTATTATGCCTAAGCTACTTTGATTAATTTAAAAATGATGACTTCACTCACAACATAAAATAAAGTGGGTTGTACGTCCGTCACGAAAATCGAAGAAATTTAGCATAGGATCAAATAATCAGTTACCAGCGTTCTCCAATTTGAACACGATTTTTTTGCAAAAAGCACTTAAAATTTTGCCTGTAAGGTTGAATTTTCTGTAACGTTTTTGCATAAGAAGTGGCCTTTTGATCTACCGATTGTCTGCCATTACAATTACCTGCCTATTTACCATTTTACAATATGCAAATTGGAAATAGAGCCCATTTACTCCCCCGGACCAAGTAGAACAAGTAATTCCAAACCAATCACTTTACAAAGGAGTGCTCTTACTGCTGTACCCGCTAAAATTATTTAGCTTTTGCAAAAATGAACGTAAAGTAGCTGCAGTATATAAGTTATTCTTGAATTGGCCTCTACTTCTGATTCTTGCTTATAGTTTGCCTAATTGACAAGCGAAGCCCACATAATTTTACAGTGGCATACACTTGCGATCAACATTTTTGTTGCATACATTTATTGTTTAACGAATATTGTTTACCCTAGCACGTGCACATTGTTTAGGCGTGCCAGAACTTCTTTTAGAATTCCTCCTGCCAGGAGAGCCTTTCCGTTCGTGGGCATCAGATTTTCGTAGACAGTTATTGATGAAAATGCCTTTGGATCTCAAAAATGACCAACGAGTCGACTTGGTAATCTTGCCTTTTAACGGCACCAAAATTAATTAGGTCAAAATTGCTTGTGCAAAGAGCATTTTATTTTATGCTCGAGTCTTCAAGGCTTTTTATAATATGAGCTGTCCGATATACTTGAGTATCCAAGTATGCTTGCGTGCGCCTGTACCCCCAGTCATATATCCATTCAGTCTAATTTTCAATGTACCAAAAGATTTTCCCTCATTCACTCCACACTTCCGAGTAGGAAGTTTGATTGTCAAGCAATCGAAGCTGGCAGTTACTCTATCGCTGCAAGCATCCTTCACATTTCCAACAAGAAAACATACCTGATTAAAATTGGAAACAAAGGAAGGCGTTGAGTAGACAGTGTCGATGACCTTGACCGCAGAACTCTGCTCCATTACCACCAGGTGTGTCGAACCGATCGTTCCGTCAAATGAAATAGCTTTGAAGCAAATATTGTCGTCGATTGTAAACGTATTTTGCTCTGCTCCATATCCAAGGACATTTAACTCATCAATCACGATTTCTATGTTAGCTGAGAGTAAGGGCTTAAAGTAACCGACCTAGGAGGAAAGAATACATCCAAGGCATCAGGTTCAGTGGGAGTAGGCCAGCGCCCAACCAAAAAATCCTGCTTAGATTATAATCAAAATTTTGATAGTGAAACATTATACGATAATGAATTTTATTAACAGCTTTCGTGTTATTTTAATGGGCAAAATTGGCCCGAAATTGCCATCATTTATTAGCGAATTTTAAAGGTTTCCCACACCTTTGAGTTATCCTTAGCATAGACTATTCGTGATTGGGTGCAAGTCGACTAAATTTCTATAATAACGAAATAACGTGGATACTCTTTGGGCAACCGATTTCCAGTGTGGATGACTGGTCACTCATATTTTATCTTCCCGTGGTAATTCACCAATACGTCAGCTCTTTGTACAGGAAAACATATAAAACAAAGGAAATAAGTGAAATTAAATCTTCAATTTGATTCCTGAATTGTAAACGCGTAAAAGTCTCTATTGCTGTAGGAAAGTAACAGTTGCGAATGTTGTATGCTTCAGTAACTTATTTTGATGACAAAAATTAAGCACGTTTAACAAAATTTGTATATTGTAGAAATAGAATGACTCCAAGTCCATGACTGCATGGCTGCAAATTCGAACAACCTGTTTTAAACGTTCAGCGTCTCCTTGACGTAAGACTATGAACTTGGCGAAAAATGATAAGTAAACGGAAACCTTAATTTAGCCAATAATAGTTTTGACTTTGTATAGCAGAGTTCGTTTGTAAAAACAAAATCTAAAAGTGGTTTAAGTTACATAGGCAAAGGAAGCTCCATAGCGATTCAAATGAAACTGCTTTGTCATAGAATTTGATTTTGAATTGGCAAACAACAGTTCTTGTGGATCGAAGTTTCCTTCACAACGCTAACAGTTTAGTAATGGTACATTCAAGAACTGATGAATACTACTTTAAAGACGAAAATCCTCCAAACCATATTTGGGAACCCTGCAACTTCAGTGTCACTAAATTTGATGAATTATAAACTCACGGTGAGAAAAAAAGTTTGGCTTGACACCTTGTTTTCCACAGTGACATCAAGTATTTGGTTGCCGTCTTTGAGCATCTTATGCTTGAGTTGAATGTGATCGGCTGACTCAGGGAATTCGACATCGGTTTGTGTATCGTTCACCCAACCCACCAGTACTCTGACTTTGTTTGGACGAGTCTTTGGTGTTCCCGTGTATTTCACCAAGATGACTGCAACGCCTAAAAGCGAAACATAGTACACACGCATGGCGTCTGCACATTTCAACTCTGAGAGGTAGCTGAACACATCCATCGCATCAACGTGATTTCCTCACTCAGTGCCCTACTTTGCCTCAAAAAGTCATGAGCACAGATCCAATGGGGCATTTTTAATTCATGTATTTTTACGTGATGCTTGATTTTTTTTTATTGTATTTTATTCTATATTTTCAACGATGCCAGCGGTAATGCCAACTACATGATTTTGAACAAATAGTCTTTTAGAAAAAAACCTATTTCATGACTAAGAAAATTTAACTAATTTGGATTAACAACTATGCTCTGCTTAAAAAACAATGCAAAATGCATTTTCGACGTCTACATTAAATTTGTTAAAGCTAGTCCGAATGCACGTTTTGTCGACTTAACAAGATGGTTCTCTTAATAAGAAATCATTAAAAGCGATTTAGAGTTTTATAATGAGACCTAAAATTGAACCGTTAGACGATTTAAATAATGTGCTTACCTGGAGGACCAACAATGGCCGTCGCCAACTCTGCTGTAAAATCGGCCACGTCGAATTGTGTCTCGACCGACAACTTGCACTCTTTTTTGAACAAGTTGTTGGCTACAACAACATCATAAGTTGTCACACCTTGGATGTTCACGACTTGTTGACTTGTCCAACTTTGCTGCTCTGCAAAACGTATTTAAAAGTTTTAGCATTTAATTTAGTGTTTAGTGTAGTTTAGAGTGAGATTTTAATAACCTGGTGTGCAATAAACCTTATTTGAACTTTTAGATGACATAATTCTCACACGAAAGGCCATATCGATTGAATCAATGTTGATTCAGAGCACATAGTTAACCGAGTAAAATGCATCCGGAAATAAAAATATAAACTTAGTGGAGGTGTAAATACGTGCGAATGCAACTTGGCAACCTGGATCAATGTGGGCTCGCTCAGATATCTCATGAGCATTTCACACTGTTCACAAAACCAATATATTTTATTGCTAATAGCTCGAAGGGCAAGCTAAGGAATGTATGAGGTACGTTATTAGCCAACGTGTAGGCCCTCAGTTTTAGAACTCAAGCGGAAGGTCCCACTCCATTATGGCCTTTTCTAAATGCTTTACTTTAAATCACACTCGATTTGCTAGGAGTATCAGGTGTCCAATCTGCCTTAGAGCCAAGGTCGATTCACCTTCTGGGACCACCCTCACCCGGAAATGTAAAGCTCCTAACTTGTGAACATTCAATTGCATGAAAGCAAGGTTATGTAGTGGCTAGTCAGAGATCGCGCGTGAGTGAAGCATGTTTACTGACCTAATGGCATCAATGACTCATTTCTATTGCCTTGATTACTCTCACCAGACGTCTGTCATCTGTTCCATCATCCTCACACAAAGACATACTGGGCTGGCGTGACTCTAATAAATGGTCTTGATACCCAAACCTTTGCAACCAATTTTAAAGTGGCCGCTGGAGACTATGACAATTTTTATCTTCACACATTTGGGAAAGAAGCTGAGCCTTTTAAATTACCGGTAAAATAATAAATGCATAGGTGCTTAATATCAAAAAAACATGTTGAAGAGAAGAGTGAAAACTCACCGTGAACAATTTCCGTCACAGGTACTGAAAGGCCACCTCCATTCAACGTAACATTTACCGCTTCTGCGCTCTTAAAGAACACATGGATTTCAAAATTCTGGCCAACTCTGACCCAGCTTTTTGGCTCAATGCTGCACCCGAAGTCGGAAATGCCCGGTCCTACGACCACAAACAGGGGAACCAATGACTGCTCTTCCGTGCCGCGTTGCACTGTGGCCTTGAGAGTCATGTTCCCCCTTCTCAAATAGGTGTGTTGAATTGGCGTGCCTTCAGCATATGAATCGATTTCTTTTTTCCTACTTCCATCACCCCAGTCGATTTCTACCGTCAACAGAGGACTCGGCAATCCACTAACGCGCAAGACACTCACAGTGAGATCCTGGTAAAGAGGGACTGATTCAGATGTAGCTACTAAGTTGTAGGTTCCCAAGGGTCCTAGACATATGTAGTTTGCGCATTCAGTGAAATGGCCGCCGGCAAAAAAAATGGTTCCACAAATAGTGTATATCCCTGGTTCAGTGTACGGAGGCAAAGTGAAGGTGATTGCAGGAAGAACGGGGCTAAGGTGGTCAAATGGACGAGTCTCATTGTATTTGACACCATCGCTGACAATTATCGTAGCACCTGTGGCAAAACCCACAGTTTGGGTGTTCACCTGAACGGTATCCTTTACTCCGCCTTGTCTGTAAAAGAAATTACCAATAAGTTTTCCAATTTAGTGTTCTTTTCCTACTTGTTACGTATGGTTTTGAAGTCGATCACGGGATAGAAAGTTCACATAGGCTTAAAATTCATTTCTCATAAGAGAGACAAATCAGTACACGAAAACAATGAGCGTGAAGTCGCCTGGTATGCGTTAGAAACAGTTAAGTAGTTATGAGAGTGTCACCATATTTCTGTACCGAGTCTAAAACAGATATCGTCACTTCCTGAGGCTGTCAAATAGCTCAAAATTTAAGACGATTGCCACGTTGCTTGATACACTGCTTGCCCTTAGTGAAGAGGAAAGGTTACAGGCAGAAAGTACTTGACTTGGTGTCATCCTTTAGCGTCTAAGGAATTTGGGCTTTTAAAAGACATAATAGAGTTCATGAACTTGGCAAAGCTGATTGGCCCATTGCGACGGGGCTTGAAATCAGCACTACTCCATTAAATTAGCACTACGGCGAATATGTACATTACACACGTTTAAAGCTACATCGATACTAAAGAAAGGGTTAAGGGGACCATGAAAGCACTCTACTAGGCAAAGTAGACCAATTTCCGTTCTTTTAAACTAAATCAGTGGCTAACTGAAAAAGACGCTCGTTAAGAATTTGAAGAAAGCATGGGGTGTGACGTGGCTCTGAACTAACTTTGGTGTAATTGTGATGAAAAAACTGTCCGGCGCACACTCCACCCAGAATTCGAAGGCCTCCATAACATCGCCCTGAGAGCTGTTTAAGTGGAGGAGTACAATGTGCTCTCCAATGTCGCTAAAGTAGAGTTCAGAAGTCTCAATAATTCGTTCTTTTTGCCGCACTGTTGCCGGAGTCCAGAGGCCCTTATCAATCGAGAATGCACCTAATGTTGGTTCACCATCCGTGTAGGTGAAACGGAGATTTGATTTTACATCTACCGGAATTGAGTTTTCGACAAGGGTCAAACCTGTACAAGACGAAAACATGAACAAATATCGTCAGCATTCTCAAGCGGTCTGATTCACGTATTTTGATAAATTTTTCAATTAATTTTTGGCAAAGGCCACTGCCTGATTGAATTTGTGCCAATTGTGGAAATGATCATGTTGAATTGTACAGGAAAACTGACCTACCAAAAATGTGAGGTTCATAACCTTCGTGGAAAACTTTGAAATTTGCAGCAACAAAGCAAATAAAATGGCTTTTCTCAGGGTCCTGGATTTTCGCATTGAACTCCATCGAAAAATTATTGTTCGAATGCTTCCCACGCTAAGGGGCTACCTACAGTGATATCTGGTGGTATTTGCTGTTCACTTTAAATGCCACTGAGATGTTGGAAACCCACCATGCACTAACAAATTAGTAGACAGTGCTCTGGAAATGAAAAACCTCGGGAACTGGGCAACATTTCACGATCACGTTTAAATCTTCGAACTTTGGAAGTTTCCTTCAGATGTGAATGCGTCATGTGGTCACGTGTTCGCTTTGTTAAAACTATGATTAATTTAAACCCAACAAGTTCACATAATGCATTCGAAAGACATTTATGTACATTGTGTTACGATTTCGAACCCTTAGTTATCACGACACCTCAAGCAGAAAGCAGTGATAATTGCAAACGCATTTTCGTTGCATATCAAATTGGCGAAAAAATTATGTTCAATTACAAAATTTACAATTAAATTTTAGAAAGTCCTGATAAAGAACCTGTTCGTTTACACAGCTTCTATTAAAATGTGGCTAATCTAGGTAATGCGACATCCAAAAAGTATAATAAGTGACAAGATTTCAATAGATATTATCAAAATGTGACAAGGAACAGACATTACTTATGCACAAAATTGATTTAACTGTCAATTTTTAATCCATTACCTATCCTATGTTTTTCTTTGAATTTGTCAAGCTTCCAAAGGGGGTATAATTCCCCGCCTTACACGGCAACAAATTCAATGCAACCTGGAGACTGGGCAATTGTTCATGTCAGTCTATATTTTCTTATAATTTGTTGGGCTGTACAGAATGCTAGTATACCACCCTGGATTAATGGATCGCAAGGCAGTGTTCATTTTTAGTGGCTACTAAGAAATAGCTGACCAAATCGTGTAAAACCTGATCAGCTTAACTCTTGTCAAAACACCAGTTTAATTTAATTCCTTGTTGACTTACCTTGGATTGTGGAAAAAACCGAAATTTGGGTTTCGGCCACCTGCCAGCCAACGACATTTGAAACGTTAACGGTAACATTGAAGACACCAGATTGGACAAACGTATACTGGATATTAGGCTGCTTAGTTGTTTGAACAAGTCTTTCATCGACAAACCACTCATAGGTCAATTCAGTTCCCTTCAGCACTGTTACCGAAAGATACAAGGGGACCTGAGGAGAAACGCTATGAGGTGGTCCCCCTGTAAGTGCTCCCAAGGCTACGGCCTCAAAGACGGTGATTGGGAGAAGGCGGGTAACTGATTCAGTTCGACTTCTGATCTGAAGTTCTACGGTAAGCTTTCCGAGTTGTACAAAAGTGTGACGGACTTCTGGAACGCGTGTTTCCTTAGCGGGAGAGCCATCACCAAAGTTCCATAAATAGTAGGAATTGCCACCTAAAAGTATAAGTTCTTTTCATTACTTTCAAGTCAAATTGCTTTGTCCGGATGTTGTGGATTTTGCCACATAATATGCAAATGTTTGAACTAAGTGATTTGTCACTATAAGTTAGGAATTCATTGTAATAAATGCAACTTGATGTGTATCATGCAGAATAATTTAATATTGCTTTCAAATAAGCATACTTCCGGTTTAGTTTGAACAATCTTGACAACATGACCTGCATAATAGGTATGCTCAGGAGCATCATTAAATCACGTGGTGCTTTTAAACTTGGATGATGCGCTTGAGGCCATTTCAAAGCCAAGTTGAGTTTTATAAATAATAACATCACGTTATGCATTTCGGCAACACAGGAAAATGTGGGAATGCAGCTCATGCTGAAGGTTTGCATTAAGTGTGCACAGAATGACAAAACCGTGTCCTCGGCGATTGAGAATGACATGAAGTTCGAAGAATAAGCACTATTTTAAAAGGCGCGTTTGGCGAAGTAAAGAATGTGCATGAGAATCACTGCCATCAAATTTGACTGACACCAATGGACAAATTCTGTTAATTCATGAGCTTTCATGGATGGTTATATTTACATAAAGTGCCACGTTGTCATTCACTGTTGTTACTTCAATTTAGCACCAAAATTTTCGGGACTGTAACTTAAACGTGATTTCCATATCCTTGGTGACGATGCTGTAAACTAATCAAGTAGACTTCCTTAGGTCTCATTACCATTATTGAAACCATTTTGGAAAACCCAGAGTTATACAGGTGACAGGTCAATTTTAACCTCTGTGCTGTTTATAAGAATTTGTGAGTTTTCGAAAGTTGGTCTAGTAAAAAATCTCATATACAAACATATCACCTAATTCGACGAAGTGACTGGTCAGATTCTTAACATATTTCCATTTGATATGACTCGTTCAGCGTAAAAGTTTGAAATCACACAAATTCTCCAAAATGAGGTGTAGGTTAAGTTTTAATCTCGTCACCTTTGTTAAATTCTCAAAAACAAAAACAATGATAGATTTTATCCAGTGACTATAAAAAGTGATAGGAACTTCACCTGCTTGTCCCCGAAATATTCTATATGACAATAAACATAATGTGACTTAGTACGACTCTCAAGTCCACTCAGAGATCATTTTGTGTAAAAATTTTTTTCAAGATAAGCACAGAACTTGGAAAATATCGTAATGTTACCTCCACCATTAACAGAGCTTTATTTGTAACATATCATGCAATCAAAGTTTGCAGCACTTTTCACGGATTCGTTTTTATAACCTATAAAATTTCCTGAGAATGCAACTTGGGCATCAAAGTGCAGGGAACCGAGTGCGATCATCATAGTAAATCCAGGCACGCTCCTTTGAGACGGTTGTCTGTCAAGCAAAACAATACAGGGCTGCTCAGACATGAGATTTCTTTACATTGGCTCTCGCTCACAAACTGCGGGATACATTTTGCTACATGTTAGATAACTAAACAATTTTATCTCCTTTTGCCTGTCTTCTTTATTCCCTAGTTGGTACTGACTGCTAATTAACAAATTTGAAGGATCACTATACGAGGTAACCCCGATGTGATTGCATTAGGAATCACCACATCTGTCCAAGTTGATCAGTTATTCGAATTCTGGGTCTTATAAATTTGTTTTGTTCACTGAAGTCTGCCTTCTGTCGCACTGGCGTCAAAAAGCTAAGTGCCGCTCAAAGCGGCCCTAATTCGAGGACCCAGGCAGCCAATTATTTTAAAGAAGAGAACTTAAAAGCATAAGAATTTTGGTACCTGAAACATAGGTTTTGGGGATGTTCGTTCATGACACGAAAGACACTATTCGAATGGCCAGTAGTACGTGGCTATCTGTGCACAACTCACAAAACTATAAGCTAAGGACATCGAAAAACTAACCTTGGAAATCTTTCAGCTCAAGGACCTCTGATTTCGAGAAAGTGTAGGATGTGCGGAGTAATTTGATATCATCAAGAGGATCAATCACATTAATGAATCGACGGACTTTCTTCTCCTGCAAACCAAGTGCCTGTGTATCTTTGTAGATACTTGCAGTTACATGCCTAACCCCCGACTTCTCAAAGCGACCCAGGAAAAGCATTGGGAATTTGGGAATAGTCAGCGCTGCAGAAATCTGCAAAAACAATTAGCACAAACGGAAACATGAGGAAGTGCCAATGGCTGACCACTGAAGACATCTACTGGGAATGTCTGTTTGACCTGCCCAGTTAATCAAAGTGTTTGGACCACTAGGTTTGTACCGATGAAATTCGACTAGCCTTTATGCCACTTTACCTCTAGTTGACAGTGGCAGACACAAGAATCCAAATAACGACTTTATTCTTACCTTAAAGCGTTTGCCCTGGATACGGTTAAGCCCAGATAGTTTCATTCCTTCGGAGGGAGGCTGAAGGAACTGATCGGAATATTGAAAGTCGGCGGGAGCATACATGGTGTCGCTGGTGCAATCGATAGCCTCAAAATCGTCAGGCAAAACCCCAATTCTATCACCGACCATTATGGGAATAGGTTTTTGAAATTGGAAACTTTGAATTCCCGAAAAACTCCCATTCACTGTGAATATCTGAACAAAGATTATGATTTAAAATTTTAACTGCAAGTTGTGTGTGATAGTTGCCAAAGTGCATCCACATCTATCACTGTGCTGATAAAACTATCTAACGTCGGACCTTGTCTATACCGTGAACTGCTTGTACTGGGAAATAATTAGTAACTTGTGTTCTTTAGCTGAAATCTGTTTTCATCTGTTTGTACATTCTGGTATTTCTTAAGCATCATGATTTTTTGAATGCGATTTGCCGTTGATTGGATTTCAATCAAAAAACTGCCCTTTAGCACTAGTAGGTAAGTTTGAAAACCTGCTAGAATTCTCCAATTGTGTTTCTATTCCCAAGAAAGCACTAGGGCTAAGAAATATTTTCACAAATCTATAAAAATATCTATAAGGCTTTCGTTGCTCAATCTGTTGTCAACATAATACCTAAATTTGTAAAGTAAATCACCTTCACAACAGTGTACGGGATTGAAGTGGAGGAATTGGAGCTGTCCAGTTTGATGTTCCTTCTGTTGGTCTGCGAGCAGTTTGTCCGACCCACTTTTACACACTCACGAACGAGTTGGCAGTAGCTTTCTCCGTCCTTACAACCTACACCCTTGAATCCTTCGATTTGACATGAATCTGTTTTGTAATCGTAGATTTGATTTGCCGGACACGTTGCCCTTAGAATCTGAGGGGAAATTTAGAGAAAACTGCATCACTCTTCGTTCAGCTGTAGCTTTAGTACTGAGATTTAAATATCCGTCAACTACCCGTGATTATGAATATAATAAATACTTGAATTCCAGGCAGTCAATATGCATATTGTTGCTGCGGAAATCAGCTTACCACTAGACCAGAGGCGTAACAAGATACGCAGGCACAAGGGCACTTCCTGGTAGGGTTAAGTGAAAGATAGACATGAACGTGCATACTTTAGCATTCATAATCAACCACTCTTGCGTAAACACCGGACATCTTTAGGCATATTGGCAAAACTAAGGTCAGGATTTAAAAATGTCAAAACGCTTACATTGAATTTCATGTGACATGTTAAACAAATTACCATCCACTGCCTGATGCAATGTTAATGCTTAATGCAAAGTCCAATTATTCCACAATAAATTGAAAAAAAATGTCATCAGAACCTAGCACAGTTCTAGGATTCTGGATGAATATGCCTTATTCTATCCAGAAGGCAAATGTATACCTGTTTTTTAACCATAGGCCAAAAGATCTCAACCGGAGTTACCTCAACGAGAACAATGCAGAAGTCAACAAATTTTGTGCGAAAAGCGTTTTGTACTGAGCATTTAGTCATACAGAATGATGGACAAAGGGATTTACTTCCTATCATATTTCCAGTTTCAACAATATAGAATAGAATGTAGAATATAGAATATTTTAAATGAGAAACCCATGGACATCAATACAGACATCTCGATCTCGGAATGCTGTAAAGTGTCACTTTTCTGTCTGGTTGGAAAGTGTCTCCGGTTCTGCCGTCTTCACAAGGTCTCTGAAACGACTTCGATGTAATCATGAACCCGTATAACTGAGTCCTCAAACATATCGAATAGCGATTATTTTTGCCGCCGCAAATTGCATTTGTTCCATGCGTGTGTGAGTCGAAACATGCTATGCTACTTTTACTCAGTTACAAAGTGCATAATAAAATTATTTACGATTTCAGTTTCGTGGAACTTCTTAAAGTTGAGAACCAAAATCAAACATATTGCTTGTTGATACAGCAGTGCCACTTGTACTTAATTGAAAGCTATTTATTATGCATTCCGGCTAAAGTGGCCAGTAAATATGGGGTGCAGCCTGACGAGATTGCATTGAAGCCAATGTCCAAGTAAACACTTTACTCAATGTTATGGAAAACGAAATATTTTTAAACAATTCAGGCAATTCCAACACATGACTCACAAAGAGCTTCAGCCTGGTCGGTGCTTTCAGGGTGATGAAGATCTCGCTGATTGTCCCCGCGTACATCGCCTGGGTTCCGGTGATGACTGCGTCAGTCAGCCTGCAGTCGGGAAGACTCGGTCCGGAATACAAATTTGGTGTGCCAATGAAGTCAGACCGACTTTCTGAAGTGAAGAGAAACACGTCACTATTTGTGGTTCTGTTTGATTTCGGTCAATTTTTTTAACAAGCCATCTCACTGAAAGGCACGGCTGTTTCTATTAAGATGTCGGAATAGGTTTATTTCCTCTTCAGTTATTTCATCTTCGAAGAAATTTTAATGCTACCACTTATGAATGACCTGGAACACGGATCACTTAAATTTTACCTAATCTCTGTGTACTGTGAGGCCTTCTATCAGATCCAAAGTGATGTCTAGCGTAGTAGACAACTCAATTTTGCAGAGAAAACCTGACACCAATCAGTTACGGTAATTCTTTCTTCAAAATCATATTCAGTCAGAAAGGTCTTGCCTGCTTTTCCGAAATTTCTACAAAAGAGATAATAAAAGACAAATAAACTACAAATAAACCTACTAGACAGCGTGAAGTCCTCGCTTTGTTGACCCTCCCAAGTCACCTTCCCGTGGACCATATTTGCCGACTCGACGGTGAGATTACAACTGAAGTACTGCCGCACAATGGCAGATTCTGGACAGGTAAAGTGTACCACGTCCGCCGTGACTGGCCGGTCAATCCATATCTGAGCTGAACCTTTCGACACCTTTAGAGGTTACAAGTAGACTCTGAGAATCCACACGATCGGGTTTGAATTAAAGGGTAACCTTAAGTACGGTGTCATAAAGGAGATAATACACTGTACCTCACATTTAGTAGTCGTCAAATTTACGTGATGAGGTAGAGCGAGTAAGTATTCTTGAAAACAGAGTCATTACCATTAACTTACCTCCCTACCATGAGCTTTCAACTGAAACTGAATGTCCTGTTGACCGGAAATCGGTGAAACAAATTCGATAACTTGAGGAGGAGGTTGACCAAGGGGTTGCCAGTTAAGTTCCGGTAGGACCCTCATTTCTAGCTCCATATGCTTTAGTAGTCCACTGTCATCATTTCCACCTGAGACGTACAACATATTTATTTCCTGTTTTTTTCCTGCCGAGCTCAAGAAACTGGAGCCGAGGGTGGTCTGAAGGAAATTGTTGAAAGGAGTAAACGTTATGCTCCTTAGGGCTAATTCACCAATCAAAATTTCTGCTTTTATCCATAAGCAGAAAATTGGAATAATGCAACATATTTTATAAAGGTGAAAATTTTTACCGCATTGATACTCATTCATTATCAATGGCATTTAAGAGATTGCCGAAACAATGTTATTGAGAGAATGCGTGCAACCGTGTGCAAATTAGGTGTCCTCCACTCCATCATAACACTTGCTAGCAACATGGATAATTGCCTACTTCCACGAATCTATTAGTTTTCATTTAACGCATCTCCCAAATTACCGATACATGCACCCGCTATGTCAAAAAAACGGAGTTTGGTCTTATGGTTACCCAGAATGTGAGCAACTAGTAACCAAAAGCCTCAATAGATGTATCAGAAAAGAGCTCTCATAAATTAAAATCAGAAATGTTTTGCTAGTTTGATGGCAGCAGTTTTGATGTTAGCAATGAAAAGGTAAAGTATTGTAGTCCGTTGGACATTAAAAATAACGAAACTAGATTTAGTTCATAAGAGCACCTGATTACAAATCTTGATTTTTGTCTTACAACGGTCAAAAGTCTCTAACTGAAAAATCAAAGTGCCAACCACTATAAATATTTTTTTTCTCGAAATTTCGACTCTCTTCTTTTTTTCCATTTTAGATAATGGGTGACAGCAAAGGCATGAAACGGCTTAAATACTAACGCTGACAAAAGTCTTGCTTACGTCAATATTCACAACCGCGCCTGCGAACTTGATGCAGCCAATCTCTACGTCAGCTTTAGAACAGCGATGAATTTGGTCGGTCATCCCGATAGGCCGTTCACCACAAAAACACATATTTTCTAACAGAATTGCGTAGCAAGAGTAGTTCATTCGGCTGCACTGGTACGGGCATCCGTGGGTGTTAAACTAAAGGGGAAATTTCAGAAACTCAAAACAGTCAGCTCTTTCGGAACCTTACACATCATGTTAATGGAATTAGATCAACTTAAAATGTACTTTACTTCGAAATTAAATGTGCATTAAAATTGCATGTACAGGTCGAAGAAGTGTAAACAACAGTGGTTTGATCCTAGATTACACAACAAGTTGTTATCAAAAGTACTCTTCCAAAAGCAACTTGATTCTGAAATCTTGTTCATAGAAATGGAAGCTATTTGTGTGAATTTCTAAGTCTATCATTATACGCTGATTCAAAGCGAAGTCTTCTGTATCCTCGAATTTCGGCATCTTAAATCTACTTGACAATTATTGTAAGAAAGACACAAAAGAAGCATTGCACAGTCCAGATTTCATAAATAAAGGTTTTCTCTTAAAGAGGTGATTCATGATACCCTCCTACAGCAATATGTCCCAACTATGGAATTTGTCATGTATTTTGCTCAAACGCTGCTTTCAAAACGTCGAAATTTTCTCACAGCTGGTTGTCTCAACTGTTAGTGAAAACGATTGCGCAAAGTACGCTGGGCCTAAAGAACTCATTTCCGTCCTCCGTGAGCCACTCGCTTCTTAAGTTACCTTGAGGAGGACACTGATCACATTTGGTCAACCATCCTCCTCAAACATTTGTGTTTATCCTCCTTAGACAAAAAATTTGCGACACAGCCAGAGCATCACACTTGCAAATCGATGGCTGTGTTCGTAGTTAGAATCATAATGCCTTGCAAGACTATCAAGTCAATTCATTTGCAATCACCAGAAATTGCCAATACCCGGCCGCTAACTATCGCAATGTTGCAAGAATCGAAGAACTTACTCCTGTTCAACCGTATTCAAGCTCTTCTTTGCCATTTTGAAATACATTCATCCAGTAAGCTTTTAAGGCGTATACTTACACCAATTAATGTTTTGTTGTTTATGCCGAACCTGCTTTATAATTGACTTAAAACTATACTTGGTGATAGAACAAATGGTTTGATCTAACGTACATACGTGCTTGGAAAAAAGACACTTAAAAATAGGCCACATGTGTGTGATCTAGTAAATACTGGTAATTTTCAAACTCTTTAAATAATGGATGCTCAAATATCCGGTCTCGACACTTTCATTTTTACACTTTGCTACAATATTTTGATGTATTAGAACTTTGACAGTCAAATAAATTTTGAATACCTTCACGGATATTTACTGCAGAGACCGTTTCCTGGATTCTGGAAGTATTCCTGGATTACTTCATAGAAGTTAACTAGGACAACTGTTTGCCTTACAACGGTATTGCAAATATTTACTAAACATGGACATTTTCGGAATTTGACCAGAACTTGACGTGGTCCCTAGATAGCAAATACGTCTGTTTCGATCAAACGAATTAAGTTGACAAATTTGCAGTATGATTTTTGAGCAAACTTTAATTGCGTGAATGTCGGCACCACATATTGCTGAAGTAAGTAAATGGGTTAGGTCTATAAGTTCCAATTATTATTTTGCTAGTTAAATTTCTTTCACGAATTTACTGAAACTCATCCAAATAAATACCACATTTCAGTTTGTATTAAAAGTAATTTCCAGTTCTGTCTTCATCGTAAAATTCCTCATAACTTTTGAGGGGAGCCCAGTTGCTTGGAGTGCCACAGTGGCGATTCCCGTGAATCGCTAACACCTGAATTCGTGGCCTGGAGAGTCACTTTGGCCCAAGCTTTCTCGCGTTAGTGCCACTTTCTTGCTAGTGCTTCTCCCCCCCCCCCAGCTATGACTACCTACCCATCCACTGGTCCCTTTTTGTACGCCGAATGAACATAATCCATGTCACACAGAGTAATCATTATTTATAACATTCGAATAAAACAAGTTTTTCATTCCAAAAATTTGACTGAATGACATACCCCAATGCTGTCAATGTAGAAGTTGTGCTCATAGCTGTTAATGAGAATCTCCGGGTCGCATAGATCTGCGAGAGAGAGTTGAACTGCCTCCGATCCGATTATCAAAGAAACCTGAAAAGAATCCACCAGCGGCTGGATATTAGCGGAAGGCAGTCATTCATGACCTCAAATCATCTATTTTTGCTTTTCTTTGGTCAAACCTACTTCCTTAGCAGAGTAGTGGCGGGTCCTTGTAGTGATATCTCGCTAGTCCTAGAGACAAGTAGTTATTAATTGTACCATTCATCAGTGATTAATTCAACAGTGCTTTTAAATCCCTAAACTTCATATAAGGTATTATTCTGGGGAAGGATTTTTAAAAACGTAGATGGGCTTTAAACAGCATTATTGTTAATTTGGTTAACTGCCTTATCTGACGATTTATAAGGAATTGCATTTGGCGCAACATCTCGCCCCAGTAACCGTTATTTAACAGCACAAATCCCAAACTAAATTACACTGTAAACGGCTCAATTTATAATGATGAGCACGACCGTAAATCAAAGTGTTGCGAGTTAGAAGTTTCATCCAAATTTCATGTCACTAAAACTGCTTAAGAGCGACAAAGGGAAGATTTTTACGAATACGATAACTTTATGGCGGCCAAACTGAAATTCAAGCTACTTGTGTTTACAAGTAAACAAGAAAGTTGTAGGGCTTCAATAAGAAAAAAAAATTGTAAAATAAATCGTGATTTTGGCTTTAAATTCTGCATTAAACCGCTAAGTCAGGACGCTAACATTACATTAGAATGGATACTTGATTTAGGAAAGTTTGAAACGCAATTTGAAATGCAAGCGTGTAGCGTGGGACGAAGCCTTTTAGGACCTAGCCAATCAAATTGTAGGTGTGATCAAAGTTCAACATCATCGAAATAAGTTAATTTAAGCCAATTCTTAACTCCAACTTTTACGAGTCATGTATTCAGGTCAATTTTCAATGTCTGAAGCAATTCTAATGAAATAATATCTAACCAATTAAGTGAAATGTGGGAGATTGTGTTTCTGCCAAAAAAAGGAGCAGCTTATCACTACTTCATTTTGCTTTTATTGTTTACCGCACCAATTTGCTTGTATGCAAAATTTTGGCAACCCAAAAAACCTAATGGATGAAATAATTTTAAAGCTTTATTGACAATACATCTGCGTGTCAATGACAAAATATCCACTGTTCAGTCTGCTTTTTTTTAATTTAGGGAGTCTTAAGGTGCACATGTGAACAACAAGGAAGTAATTTAGCAAGAAACAGGTAATTTCTAACTTGGGTCATCAAATTCATCATAGAAAGCCAGTATCGCCAAGTTACTTAGTGAAGGGCACGTGTTTAGTTTTTTAATATGGAATTTTCCCCTTAAAATGTAAGATGATTTTTGTGTGTTTGATGCGCTTCTCTTTATTCAAGCTCACTAAGCTTTTTAGCTGTATTTCGCTCTACAATTTTATCACCCATTCTTCTTATTTCTGTCATAGTTGTTGATTGATTCAAAACAATTTAACTAATGAACTCCTTGTACTTGAAGTTACATTTATGAGAGCTAAAGAAATACTTTCACTCGTTCAATATTTTTTTCCAAACCTAGCTAAAATACAATCTAGCCACCAAATTCACTTAAACAGTTTTGTTTGAACATAATTTTGTTTTTTTTGATCCTAAAAAACATTTATAACTATCCATGGATTGCTCTGTTTTTGTTACAGGACAAAATTTGCCTTACTCTATGCATGATACTGTTAATTACGCCAACTCTGCACACTAGGCATGTATTTTATTATCTGATTCTGTAAATCAGCTATCAGCATCCTTCAGTCTGAACTGTGCATAAGGAATTTTGTTTGGTTTCTATTGTTCAGCAGAGTTTACATTTTGAAGAAATTATGTCTCCGTGAAGTTATGATGGTACCCCAAGCATTTTGGAAACTAACATCATGTAAATACCACTGAAAAAAGGGCATCGGAACTGAGGAAGCTGTTCCCTGCAACTCACACAGAATTCATACAGAACAGCAGTCTGATTAAGTGATAGGCGACATTCAAATGCATGGTTGTTACGCTGGGATTAAGAGTAGGGATTGATGTCAAAGTAAATCTGATCATTTATGTTAAACTAATTCGTCTTTCGCGTAGGTTGCATATTTGGGTTAAAAAACTGAAAAAGGTAGTTATTGAATACATTAATAAATAAGGCGTCTAACTGAGTTCGAAAATCTCTTCCTTGAAAAAAGAATGAAACACAGCACAAATAGGAATCTTATCATAAAATGGTAATTAAAATATATTTGTTGCATCTTTTGACAGTGGACTATTAAAACGCATTTTAATTGCATCTATGAAGGAAGGGGCATCAAGTCTACACTCTAGAACACAAAGTGGCATTAAATTACCCAGAAGGTGATCAAATTTAAGAAAAATACAGGTAGGGAGCTCTGAAAACGGCAAGAGTTTTTCGATGGAAATTGTGTGGGCCACCCACTGCATAAACATTTACATACATGAATCAAAGATAGAGAAAAAACGTTATAATTTGGTCAGCTGAACATAAAATGTAGTTGCAGAGACATAACGGCCGCATTATAGTCATTCATATGACAGGTTATTTACCACGAGGGCAACGCTGCCCAACTCAGAACATCGTCCTTGCATTCAACTTATTAACGAGTAAACTACAATTAGCCTAGCCAAAGGCTCTGCCAGTATATGAAGTGTTTTTACCTTTTCACTTGTCCAATTTTTGTTTGCCATAAAGTCCTATTTTACAAATTTATCACAAACAACTCAGTTTATCAGGTGTCAAAGTTTGCACGGTTAACTGTAACTTGTCTAGCTAATTCATCCGTAGCACTTAGAATTTTCTTCTATAAAATTACAATTCGGTACCCATCAGTGACTCCCATAACTCGCAGTAGGGGTAATAAAACCCCGATTTAAGTTTATGACTTCCTGTGACCA